TTTTTTTTTTTTTTTTTTTTTTTTTTTTTTTTTTTTTTTTTTTTTTTTTTTTTTTTTTTTTTTTTTGTCTCATTCAAATATTTTTATATATACATTTAAGTGGAAATTTACTTTCGAGCGTGTAGCTCTTCAAATTTTTACAAGACTCAAACATGTTTCTTTCAGTTTTCAATTTCTAAAATTCTTCTCTCTTCATTCCCACTCAACTTTTATCTACTCTTTTTTTCTTTTCAAAATTTACTTACAATTCAAGTATGTCCATGTCTCCTATTCTTGACAACTTCAATATTGTGCATAAAAACCAAAATCTAACCCACATTTGCAAGAATTCAAAAATCACGTCCACTTCCTACGCTTAAGAATTCGTTTAAGATATTTTCAATGAATCATCCCAAACATTCATAATAATTGTAAGTTTTAAAGAACGAAAATCTTAAAATTTAATAACATTACCAAGTTATACGCGCTCTTCTTTTCCAGGCGAGTGAATCCAACGAACTTGACGCAACGAAAGATTCATTCCGCCTAAATCTAAAACACAAACAGAAGGAAGAGGCTCAATAGCACTCGTCACCATAGCCAAAGCAATTCAGACTCCAATTGAATAACAGGGTTATTGAAGAACGCAGATAAATTATCGAATGCTCGTGTTGAATGAATCGCTATTCTGAATAACAGAATCCAAAAACTTAAAAAGAACGATCAAAGAGACAGCAAGCGCAAGTTCCAAGGAAAATGCAAACACATTAAACTAATCGATGATTCTCTCTCGAAACAGAATAATTATGGAGCAGTTTAAAGCAGGTGAAGAAAATCGAAACCGAATCGCATTATTCCTACGACGCAAAGCAAAGAAAGGAAAAAGAGAAATGCGAGAGGCAAACACTAGGGAGAATTCTAACCTTAATCAATGAATCTTGATGAAAAAGGAAAACGACGATTGTACAAATGAATCAAATGGATCTATGAATTGAGGAAACAAACGGAACTCCAATAATTTGTGTGTGCAAGCTCTGATTCGTTTGCTATACCGTATACTGGTATGGATTTGGATTGAAGAAGTAGAACAGAGGCGGTTTGTTGTTGTTCGTGGCTGGACGGGCGGCTTTTGTCAGTGGAACTCTGTTGATTGCTTGATCACGTTCTGGAAATCTGGTAATGGCGACTCAAAATTTCTCCCTCAATTCTGTTGTGTACTTTCTCTCCCGCATTGCCTTATTTGGTGCGGTAGACTAGACAGAGGGAAAGAGAGAGAGACAAGTTTTTGAATTTTGTTGCTCCCATTTCGCGTTGTAGGAATGTTGTTGCTATTTTGTTGGCCTTTTCTTCTTTTTCAATAAATAAAAAAATTTAATTATTTTTTTTTTATTTTAAAAACCATTATTTCTTCTTCTCTTTAAAATTATTTTCAATGTATTTTTCGCCTCATGTTTTCTATATTATTTCTCTCGAACTTGACTTGCGGCTCAAGCAATCAAAATCGGTAGGTTAGAATAAGTGTTGCACAATCGTTGTACCATTGTCACGGGAGTGCCGTTGTAACATAGATATTGTGAGTCATTTATTTTTATAAAAAGTAAAACAAATTTATTATATAAAAATAAATCAAATTTATTATGAAATAAAATAAAAATAAAGTAAATATACCTGCGTTAAAATTAATAATAAATTCATATTGATTTTGTTCGAGAACTCATGAACTAATTCAGTACATAAAGTTTTCATATATTTGAATTTAACCCAGATCAAATAAGTTCATAACTGACTCAAACGGTATGAATTGGGTTGGTCTGATTTTCTAGATCATCGAATTTTTTTAACACCACTATTTATAACAAAGGTTTCTATAATTTTTTTTTAACTAAAATCATAATTCAACTTGCTAAGGATTATATGAGCATAATTTAAATAAAGTAGGAAGTCGCCTAGCATAAGCAAAATACGGTTCTGTCTTAGTTCATTCCCGAACAATATCCTACTAAGAGAGATCGTGCTTTGATACCATCTGTAGAAGCCTCGTGCTCAGGATTCAAATAAAGATTTGGAATTCGACTCAACACCCGACACCCCCAACATTTTGTCTCAGTACATCCTTGAAAAACAGCCTACTGAGAGTGATGTGCTTCGATATCGTTTGTAGACCCTCGTATCCAGGATTCATATAAGAATTTGGAACTCGAACTCAACATCGTATGTCTCCAACATTCTCCTACATCCCTGCGACATGACCATATTATCTATATATCACTTCTAAAAGTGCTATCTTCATACACCTCACTAGTATGCTTTCTAGGAACATTTTTTTTAGAGATCACCGAAATTTTCTTCATTTTTCCTTTGGAATGAGCGGCAATAACGAGAGAAAAAGATGTCTTGTAATGTTGTTCACGTCAACCGCTACTGCTCGTAGATAAAGGGTTTTCCCTTTTGCAGGTAGTGTGATTTGGGAGGCGGCTTTCTAGTAAGACGAGTGTCTAAAACCCGGATTATCTCTCATTGAAGAACACAACTCTTCTTGTTGTGGGAAACACTCGCACTCTTTATTATGACCAATCAAGAAGAGATTACAAGATATTCGGTAGAAACTATTACTCTGTATTGTTTGAATTTCTTGAGATGATGAACTAAGTAAGATAAAGGGGTATTTATATCAGGCTAATCAATCTATTCCTAAAATTTCTCCAACGAGCCTCTGGAGAGAAGAAAGCACGGGATTAAAAAGAAGGGGAAAACCCCATTTTTATTCCAATATTGGGTAGTATGACAAAAGTTCAAAGGATCAAACACAAATAGGGTTACAAAAAGTTGTAAATTTTTATTCAAAAGCCCTTTTTCATTGCATAGTTGCAATTCTTCCTAGGCCTTAAACTGCATCTGGAGAGCCTCAATGACTTTCTCATCAACTTGGAAGGCCTTAGTGAGAACATCAAGCGAGATGGGCGGCTTAGATCCAAACACAGCGTTGGCAATGGTAATGGTGCCTGGGTTTTGGCTGCTGAGGCCAGCGAAGGCAAGGGCTGGGCCATGTCCTACGTTGAATTGGAAGTGAATGAGGCCAATGGGGAACACAAACACATCTCCTTTGTATAGCACTTTGGTGAAGAGCTTGTTGTCTGGATTTGACGTCACAAACCCAACTAGGAGGCTGCCTTCCACGACCACGAGAATTTCGGTGCCTCGTGGGTGCGTGTGAGGTGGGTTTAACCCATATGGAGCATAGTCGAGACGAGCTAAAGAGATGCCAAGGGTGTTTAGTCCGGGGATTCGGTCCACGTTTATTAGAGTCACGTTTGAGCCTTGTTTATTATTTGTGTTTCCAGGAATGTTGAGTCCTTGGAATAAGAAGTCTTCGGCATTCACTAGCTTTGGGTCCTTGCAGAACTTCCCGTTCACAAATACTATACTCAACCAAAAAAAAGTTTAAAATATGTTAGATTTGATAGCATTTTCACTAGTAGATGTTGTCTATTTTGGCTCGTTACATATAGTTATCAACCTCACATTTTTATAATACGTCTATGAGAGGTTTCCACACTCTTATGTATAAGGGATGTTTCATTCCCCTCTCCAACCAACGTGGGACCTTGTAGTCCCCCCTAGATGCCTCGTTAGCCTCACGATTTTATAACGCATCTATTAGGGAGAAGTTTCCATATTCTTATAAAGAATGTTTAATTTCCCTCTCTAACCAACGTGGGATCTCATAATCCACCCCCTTGAAAACCCAACATCTTCACTAGCACACCGCCCAATGTCTAACTCTAATATCATTTGTAATAACCCGATGCCACCACTAGTAGATATTGTCGGTTTTAGCCCATTATATATCTCCATCAACCTCACAGTTTTAAAACGCATCTACTAGGAAGAAGTTTCCACACCCTTATAAAAAACGCTACGGGGAACCTCACAGTCCAACCCATTAAGGATCCAGTATCCTCGCTAGCACACCGCCAGTATTGAGTTCTAATACCATTTATAGCAGCCCAAAGTCACCATTAACAAATATTATCCATTTTAACACGTTACAACCTCACGGTTTTAAAACACGTCCACTACCCTCATCACAAATGTTTCGTTCCCTTCTCCAACCGACGTGGGATCTCACAAAAAGCATTGAAACTAGAACGCATTCCAAACCTACCCGAAACAAACATTGACTACGAGACATTTAAGCTAAAGAAAGAGAGAATAATGTACCAGCAGATTTGGGTTCATCAACAGCAACACAGAAATCTTGAAGAGGACTTGGATCAAAACCAGACACAAGCAAAGCAGCTTGCAAGCCCAGAAGAACAGCAACTGAAAGAACACCAAATCTTGCCATTTTTTGGCTTTTGGTGAAGCAAGTTTGTATTGTTTAATTGATGAGAAGCCTTAGAATGGATTGAATTGTATTTATAGAGCATGGATTCAATGGAAGCAGATCAAAAGCTAAGTAAATTATAAACTTTCAAGCTTACCCACTAAATTGAATAATGTGCTCCAACCTTGAACATTTCTTCAACTACTCCATTTTAATTAATCATTAAATTGAAAAAAAAAATTGTACTAATTAATTTGGTTAGGGATCACGAATAATTAAATGATAATATGACGTATTTTTATTAGATAAATATTGGATGGAAATGAAATTTCAAATTCTTAATCTTATTAGTCGAGAACATATATATTTTAATTAGTTGAAATATCATAGATGTAAGTATCGAAATTTATTATAGTGTGACAAATTTCTCAGCTCGATTTAGCTCTAGTTGGCTCGTGTGACTGTCTTCAGAATTCAAGAAGCGTTTTTTACCCAATTGACCTGATTGGAAGTACGAAATTAGTATGAGTTCGGTGAGTTTTGTGTATGGAAATGATGCATACAGAATTATATACATATTGAGCATATATAAATAAAAGGTACGTTTCTATGTGTATGCATTTTTCGACCCCAACAATAAGAGTAAAGGTGTACATTTTTGGAACTAAATTATTTCAACTATTTTATATAGAAAAATGATTTTGAGTTAAAAATTTTAATTTAATTTAAATTTTAAAAGAACAATAAACCAGAAATAATTTAATTTAATTAGGCAATTTTCTTAGCTTGGTGTAACAAGCAATATCTACCTACTCTTTGGTTGATTTTTCAATGATTTTGGTAAGAGGAAGAGTAAATTTTCATCGCACACTTCGAAGAATATTGACTATTTATGATAAGAAAAAACTCGAGTCATTTTCGACCCGTTCAACTTTAATCACTACAGAATACAAGGTAATGAAACTTCGAACATTCGACTTTGTTTAAAAATTATAATTAATGTCTTGATCAATTGAAATTATGCTCGAGTTAGCAACTCGATCGTAAACCAACATAGATTCAGACATATACTTCATAATAGGTCCCGTTTTAAGAATGACCTAAATTTATAAAATTAAATCGATGAATTTCTTTGTTTTATTATCTATTTTTTACCCATATTCTAAAAAATGAAAAAAAAAAAATTGGTTAGGTATATTAAGATATTTTGGATATTTAACAAACTTAAACTAAATGATTAATTAAATTTATTTGCATTGATTTGGTCGGCATAAATACATATTTATTCTTATATTTTAAATCAACTAATAAGAGGATGACACGTAACTAATTAGTTGAAGATTTGTCAATCAATTACCTAAAAGTTGAGGATTGTTAAGACGTATTAAAAAACAATATATATATTATTTATTTATATTTCTATATATAAATATATTTTATTTGTTTGTTTGTTTATATTTGTCAACCAAAAATGACATAAGGAATTTTTTTTTATTAATTTGGTAAAATGTCCCTAATACAAATTATTTGCCACGTGTCGTATGTATACACGAAGGAGCAAGGTGTGTTTGAATTGGCTATATATATATATATATATATATATATATTTTTTTTTTTTTTATTTATTTAAATAATTGAATCGAGACTTAGATTTAAAGTCGTGTTTTCGCAAACACATATATATATATTTAAACGTTTAATTAAAAATATTTATTTTTTTAATATTTAATTGACATCAAATTTGACGAGTTTTTATCTTTGGTATAAATGAACTTAATTATAGAATTACGATCTGAGGCTTATTCGACCATTGTTTTAGCTTGTCTTTGACATCCATGACGGTCTCTTTATTCTAATATTGTTTGTGTGATGATGCACTGGCTTTCCCTATGGCATAACTACACTTAGTCGTTGTGGCTGTTGCAGATTTGCCTATATTCTTGATCAAGTTTTAAAGCTTGTCCTTATCTTTACTCTCGTCTCATATTGTCTTCTCAATAATACGACCAATGCTTTGTGATGTCATCTCATATTTCGAGATGTCATTTGCCTTCGATGCTCTTTTGGACACGCTTGTTAAGAATTGGCCCATGAGTCAACTTTATCATTGAGACATTCCAAACTTTCACCATCTGAGTAGTACTATTGAGGCATGAACCCTCTAGTGTCTATGTTGAGTGAAAATTATCAGAATAGAATACCCTTATAGTGCCTCTCAATGATGACCTAATTACACTACCGTCCACTGTTACCTCACCACCTACAATCACCACTGATTACTGTTTCTTTTTTAACCAACAATTCAAATTAACCTTCAATACGAGGAGATTTAGAGGAATTCAAAAAATAACCAAAGAGAGACACAGTCAACATCCCTAATACCTCCTCGAGGTGGGTGAAGACTCACACAAATGAAAATATAATGTAGATTTTATGTGTAAAACCAGCTAGAATTTGTGAAGTGACTATGGAACGAAAACACTAGAGTCTGGCTCAAGTTGTCCGAGTAAATTCTTAGGTATTTTTGTAACCTTGAACGACCATAACTCCCTCTTTTTTTTTTTTTGTAATCAAACTTCGTGAATCTTGAACGGTTGTCCTCAATTTGATGAGTTCTACCGTTTCAGTAAAAAGTCAAACACCAAGCTAAATCACGAAAACCGAACAAAGGAAGAAGGCATGAGAGTGCAAGGAGCTGACTATCATAAGGTAGACGATGACCAATCTACTTGGACCGGTCAGTGATCGGTCCAGTCTAATCAAACTCGTTTTCCCTCTTTAAGCACGGATCACCTGTTTTTAACTCGAATTTCAATTCGATATTATCGGTATCCATAATTTCTCGTAAGAAAAACTTTACCGAGATTAAAAAATAAAAAATAAAAATAAATAAATTGGGGGAGTATTTATTTGATAAGAAACAAGAGCAACCGCCGATGTCCCACTCTTCCGTCCATTTCACTTCGAGCAATGAACCCGTCTCTTCCATCTTCCAACCTAACTTTCCCCAAGTTTCAGCCCTCAAACCCTAACCCTAATTTCTCTCTTCCCGATTCTCGTGAGCCTCCTCTGGACTTGTCTTCTTCTCTTTCCTCCCTCAGAAACCTCATCCATGTCGCCAACCAGACCCTTCAATCTCTCTCCTACCTCACCCTCATTCAAACCCCATCTGCTAAGCCTGACGATTCCGGTTTCGTTCAGTGCAATTTTGATCGGCGCCACCGTGTTCCGCCGCATTCTCTCTTCCACCACTCCCTCCTTTGCCCTTCCGCTCCTCCTCCTCGTATCGACCCGACCCAACTCCTCCAGTCCTTGCTTTACCCCCGAACGCTTCAATCGTCTCGTGAGTTGGTTAACGAAAAGCGCTTCCGTCAAACGATGCCGGATTCTGATGCCGACCTTTGTTTCTCTCTCAATGATTATTCTGATGGAAGTTCCAATTTCTTCTATCTCGATTGCCCTGGCGTGGTTGCCTTGTCTAACCGGGATGAAATGTCTAAAGTCTTCACTCTCCCTCGTGTTTTGGCTGTTGAATGTGCTAATTTTGTTTGTGATGATGATGGTGATCGAGAGATGAAGAGTTCGTTGAAGGGGATTCGAATGCTGCCCTCTGATCTGTGGGCTCTTAGAGGTGAAGTAGAAATGTGGAATGACTACCCCAGTGTGTATTCGCATATTGTTATACGGTCCATATTGGGCTCAGAGATGGCCGTGGACAACCGTTTGAAGACATGGATCATTGCAAATTCTCCTCGGTATGGTGTTATTATTGATGTTGCTATGAGGGATCACATATTTTTGCTGTTTAGGCTGTGTTTTATGGCAATTTCAAAGGAAGCTATGGGATTTCAAATTGCGCTGGAAAATGGAAATGGAATGGAGGGTGGATCAGGGAACCTCAGTTTTAAGTGTCCGATTTTAGTGCAAGTACTATTGTGGCTGGCATCTCAGCTCTCCGTATTGTATGGGGAGATGAGCGGGAAGTTCTTTGCTATTAACATGCTTAGACAACGTATACTATATGCTGCATCGGGCTTGTCGCTTTTGCCATACGAACAAAAGCGAGTGGAGAGTCCAACTTTGGTAGAGGGCTCTCATAATCTAGTATCTAGTTGTAGCGACACACAGAGTGTGAATTTGAAAAAGTTGGATATGAAGGTTATAAATAATGTCTATGTTACTGGAGAAGAAACGGTCAACTGCAGGGTGATTTTTGTGTCCCAAGTCGCTGCGGCTGTTGCAGCATTGCATGAGCGTTTCCTACTTGAAGAAAAGATCAAAGCTTTACGTTTTTCTCATCTGCAAACTAAACATCAGCTGTATGTTACTTCTCCATATTCTGTTTTTTGGTTACTAGTTTTGATGAACTTGATGTTTTCCTTATTGCTATGATTGTGATATTCATTGATCCAACAAGTTTATGCTTATCATTCATGAGGTGGAAAATAATTGTTAGGAGACTTAGAGGAAATGGGTTTAAATCCATGTCTTCCTTCCTAGGATATAAAAATTTTACGAGTTTCTTTGGCAACCAAATATTGTAGGGTAGGATGTTTGTCCTGTTATATTAGAAAGTGAACTCAAATTTGTCCGAACTTTCATAGTGATTAAGAAAAAAAAGATGATCGAAGGGATTTTAGAGTCTTGTGTCTAAAAAAGATGGCCGAACAGCTTCTAGAATCTGTCTTTCGAAGCCCTTGTCATAAATATGCTTAAACATTTTAAGGACATCATTTCTAGCTATACTAGCTGTGTTTGAAAATTTTTTCAACAGAATTCTTAGCACCTGGAGATTTAAGTTGCCTAGCCCCTTAACTAGCTTTTGAAACTCAAATTAATGGTTGAACCTAGCACTATCAGCTCTAGAAAGTGGACTCCAGTTTATGTGTACAGCAGTAATTCTTGGAATTTAGGGTTTAAATGCTAGAAGTAAGCTAGAAGTAACAGAACTTTTCCCCTTCTATTGAGTTCAATTAATCTTCATTTTTCTTTCAGTTGCAATTTTATGGAAAAGGATGTTCTGAGTTTTCATCTGCCTCTTTCATCCAATTTAATCTGCACATTTTGTTCCACTTGTCTTCACGATTTCATCAAAAGAATTCTCGTACTAAGAAAAGGATCTCACTTTTCAAGTAGGTAACTGTTAGAAACAGACTAATCCTTTAACTCTTTTAGGGTTTCTGAACATAACTATATCTCTCAAAGAGCTTGTGAAGAGCGTAAAAGACGGTGCAGCTATAGACCTATAATTGAGCATGATGGACTCCCAAAGCAGCAGTCTCATGATGAGGTATTTCTGAACTCTGTAATGGTCTAGTCATGAATTATGTAGTTGGTATAATCAAGCATGTTATTTTCAGTTGTCCTTCCACCTGGATTACTCTTCCTACCAATTTTCTCCATTCATTTGTTGGTGATTTGAAGTCTCGCCGAATCTTCTTATTTACTGCCCTGAATGGTACATCATGTGCAGAAAAAGATTTTTAAAAAAATATATAAAAAAAAAAAGCTTTCAATTCCTCTCTCTCTCTTTCTCTCTCTCTCTCTCTCTCTCTCTCTCTCTCTCTCTATATATATATATATATATATATATATTTGTTAAATTAACTTCTTGGAACCAAATCAAGCTGGTGCCTCTATATACTTATTTTTTGGGTGTGTATTGTAGAGTCTCTTAGGAGCTTTTGAGATGGATGTTTTGCCGTTCTTTCCTTCATTTTGTGCATCTCCTCCCATTATATTTTATGTTAAAAGAATAAACTTACTGTAGCAATAAATGATGAAGCAGGTGCTGATCAGCTGCTTATTGTTCACTTACCCATGATGTTTCTTGGCTATATTTTATATCTTATGGGTTTAATTTTAATAAAAGCAGGATAGAGACAAGACCAAAACAAAAGAGGAATTGTTGGCTGAAGAAAGGGATTATAAACGTCGAAGAATGTCATACCGTGGGAAAAAGGCAAAGCGATCAACTTTACAGGTAAGCAAACAGCTTGTTCAATTTTACGTCAGCCATTGTTTTTGTTATCTCGTCTCTTTTGGCTATTAGCCTAGAGTCTAACTGGGTATGGCATGATGATTCCTTTTCTTATAGCCTTTTATGGAAAATTGACAAAGTTCTTAATTATATGATAATGCTTATCAAGAACATTTGATGGTAATATCTTCTTAGGCGTACATTGGTCACTTTTTAGAATATTATTCACAACTTTCAAGCCACTAAGATTGCAGCAACAATGGCCGAATTATGGAAGATGTGAATCTGCAATGCTAAATAGACCATGAAACTATGTGATACCCATTATGTATTTTCGGTTCCTGAAATATGTTCTGACATCTGTTTTCCAACTTTTTCTATCAAACGTTTTTATGTTAGATGTTATCCACACTCATGTTCTTACTAATTTTACCTTTCATGGAAGGTTACAAGAGATATTATTGAAGAATACATGGACGAAATTATGAAAGCTGGAGGGATTGGATACTTTGTGAAGGGAACTGAAGAGAGAGGGATAAAATCTGAACAACCAACTGATCATTACATTACAAGAGATAGTATTGCTGATGGGCACACAAAAGGAAGCAACAGCTCATATGGAGAAACTAGGCATCATAGCTCAAGTCATTCCCGGAAGCAGTCTAACTATGATAACAGATATTCAGCATCCGAAAAGCCCCCAAAAGGTAGGTGTGGGCACTATGGTTCTCCAGAAGATGAAAGGAAAGGTGTCAGTAAAGACAAATATGATCGAGAACACTATCATAGATTCTCAAATCGAAGCAGTAGTCCTAGCCAGTCACACAAATGGAAGAGATATCCAAGTGATCGAGATGATGAGGAGCCAGCAGAAACCAGGCATCATAAATCTCGAGGACTGTCTTCTAGCAGCTCTAATTATCATGGTTTTAGATCATCTTCATCCTCAAGATCGGGGGGCAATTCTAGTGCAAGGAAGGATGATCATAAATTAAGAGCTAGTGATAGTTGGAAAAGGAACACAGCTGATAATCATAGTTCAGATTCTTTGGTGCTTAATTCATTTAATGATAGATATACCCCTTCCAAGTGTCATGACCAATTGGAAGATGATCACTCCGCTGGCAGAAGATATGTAAATCCAGACGAACTTTAGTTTGCTGATCCTCAAATGAGGGGCTGTCCCGCAAATTGTGCCATACTTTTTAACATTACCAATGTCTACCTTGTGGTAAGTCTTTCTTTCATGCTACATCCCATGTGCCTTTAACTGTGACTTCTATGACTTCTTTTTTTAACATGTTTTATTCACACAACCTTGCAGCATATGGGCTTCAGAAATTTTATCCTCACATGTATCCTTCATAGTATCCTTGAAGTTTATCCCATTTTCTTATACATTAAATCTTGCATAACTTTTTCTTTCCTTGTTTTTTTTTTGTCCCCTTAGCAGGGATATTTGCCCTGAATGTTGCAGTAGCATAATTTGAACTCATCGTCACTGTATCAAAAATGCCAATTTTACATCATCCTTTTCTGTTCTGGGGTTTTCTAATATTTCTGGACTAGTCACAATGACAGATAAACAAAGTGGTCGTATTGGCGTGGATTTTCCATGTCGTACGATTGTTTCTTAATGTCCTCATTTGCTATGGTTTCCACTACTCTGGGAAATGTTTTGGTGTTGCATAACTTGTCCTTTTCCTGTTCTCTTCAGTCATGATTGGTATCGGTCGTTTAAAGTTTTACAACGACATTTTATAAATAATAATAATTAAAAAAAATATCATTGAGTAGACCAAAGTTGTTCTCAGTTGAAGAATTCCTAGTTCAAGAAACTGAGATGAGGTAGTATGAGCGTGGTAGAGTTTCAATATGCATGTTGATGATTTCACTTCAAAAACTTACATGTAGGTCATTATAAAACGGAACACACCATTAATCTAGCATCTTAACAAACATTTTACACTACTACACTGCTTGAATTCAACCTTTTTCTTGATCTTATATTAGTTCTAACTATTGTATTACCTTTAGTGTTCTACCAACAGCTCACAAGATCAGAGAAGTATGAAGGCAGTCTGCAAATAAACTTGATCAGAAACCACAATCCACAGAGTTTCAGATCATCGGTTGCAGGCCGTTCCATCCTACATCATGCTGCTAATTAGCTTCTTATCAATTATAGAAGGTATGAATTCTGACTCGCTGGTATATTTTTCTCCTTTTGGGCAGCCCATGTGAATATTTAGATACATGTACATTGTTGGAAAAGTTGAAAAGATATGAAGCGATAGGAGGAAAGGGATATGCAGAAATCTCTTACAAGATAGCTTAGGAGTTTGTATAGGTAGGTATGAAATAGTTAGCAGGTAAAGTAGGTAGTTTCTTCCATTTACTTACAAGTAGGAATTCATTGTGTAATGACCTCTATTATTATCATTATTTTTGTAGTATTTTAGTATACTGGGTGTATTTTTAATTGTATTACCTCAGATATTGAATCCAAGATTTTAAATTTGAATGTCTCAATTTCTAAATGTCTTTGGAAATATTGTTAAAATCTGGATGTTGATAGATATTTTTGAAAAAATTATGAAAAGTTAAAAAAGAAAATCATAGAACATTAACTATGCGGTATTTCAATGAAGGATGATGAAATTGAATCTCCAATTGTAAATTGCAATGACTTGATTCACTTTTAATTTTCACTGAATTGTATATGTGCAGTTTATTATAGAACAATATGGTTTGATTACATTAAAATACATTTTAAATGAGTTGTCCACAAACTATTGATATATTAGATGTACTTGAAGTTTTAATTAGAAATAAACTAGTGATAGATTGATAGATTGATAGATTGATGACATACTTGAAGTTACCAATAAATCAATACTAGTTTATATACTACTGATACATTAACAAAATATACTTAAAATGCATTTTCAATAAGTAATATACTATCGATCAATAATAATGTTATATACTATCGATATACTAATGTTATTATTGAAATTGCATTTAGATGAGTAGGATAAGACTAAACTATTCACCTCATGAAAGACTTTGGTTACCAAGTTTGGATGAGCGTTAGGAGCACTTGGAGGTGAGCACTTGGATATGAAAACATGTTGATTGATAAATTTAGTTTATTATTGGTATAATGTAACAACCCACTGTCCACATAGACTCGAGGGGTAATATGGGCATAAAAATAAATGGAAACTTACGAATAAATTTACTAAAATTCATTAAGAAAATAAATATATACAAATAAGAGCTACTAACAACTATTTAGAAAATAGTTTATATTTACAATCAAATACAAAATAATACTATTTACTATTTAACATTTACAATCAAACACAAAATAATGTTTGGGGTAGTATTTGAGGTTATGGTCCGAGGTCCTACTTGTGTCACCTCGTTTTCTCCAACCTTGTTTATGTCTTAACTTGACTCTAATGCACACTCTTCTTAGTGTGTTGGATGATGTATCGTCCTCTTCAGTCGCATCATGACACTTATCTGTTTTGACCCTCATGTGGTCAAATGGGAGTCAGTCAACATGTGGGGTCACAACCTACTATTTTCATAGTAGGGTTGTGACACTTGCACCAATTAGCAATTGTTTGGAGAGATGAGTGTCCGAAGGAGCTACATTGTCGAAGTAGAGAGGAAGTATTTGAGCTAATAATCCTCCTTCGAATTAGTAAAATGACTCAGGTAGCCTACATGTGTATTGGTCCATTCTCGCTATATTGGAAACGTAAACATAATTGTCCATAACAAGTAGTATCAAGTCATGCCTCTAATATAGATAAAATCTTCGAGTTTTAAACAAAGAAATTGTGATCCTTATGACAGCCATAGTGAATCTATGGCTGAACTTTCAAACAAGCAATATGGTCCGAAGAGGAGTTGCACTAAAACTCGTCTAGTTAAAAAAGTAATAAGCTCAAGTTAAAATCAAAGGGATGACTATTTGAGGATACTTATGTCCAAAGTAGACAACATTATATCATTTTAGAGATACGTCAATGTGACACACAAGTAAAAGAGAGATACATGAATGAACTGAGGCCAAATCCAAATAAGAATTGAAAGTTACTACATATATCAACAAAGTGCATCTTCTTTTTTGGTGGCTTAATCATAGGAATTTCATGGTTAAGCTGATTAAGCATATTTTACTTGGAGTAATTCTATGTTGGACGACATCCTATAAATTTTCCTATGATGCATGTGGTGAGTGAGGACAAAACATTTTCTCTTAGATGAGAAGAATAGATAACGTAATTATGCCGCATGGAAATTGCCTTAATCATTACGAAATTAGGATTCCAAATCCTAAGCATGGGTCATTCCAAAATGGGAATGGTTTGTCCTAACAAGACACTATTCTTGAATAACTTTTTTTAATCAACAAAATTGGAGAGTCTCGAACCAATTAGAGTTGAGTTGTTGCTGAATAGGCCTCTTAACAAAACCGTCCTTCTGGTTGGAAGAGAGAGTGTTTCGGGATGTCCTGAATCAACCAAAGAATGGAAAAGAAACAGAAATGAAAACCCCGAGTTTTTCTGTCCTTCCAAAGAGGAAAAAAAGGGAGGCAAAGAGAAATCCATGAAAATCTCCAGAAATTTCTCCATCCCAAGAAAACTCCCAAACCTTTAGTTTTTGTCTCTCTTTTTTTGTAGGGTAAGTTCCACAATCCCCCATTGCCTCCTCTTTTATCATCGCACTTTCACAGTTGGTCTCCCCTTCCCCCTTCCCCCCCCGTTCTCCAACCTCCTTCTTCCTCTCCTCCGGCCGGGTCCTTCAATAACCTTGGAGGACCCAGGATCCTCCCTCAACCACTTCCATGACTTTGGTGCTTCCCTGAACTTCTTCTTCTTCTTCTTCTTCTTCTTCACATCAGATCCCCCATCCATCCATCCATCCATCCATTACTTACACACAACTCTTGGTCCATCCACAATCTCACCATGAGTTGCTTTCCCTGCTTTTCGTCTAAGAGCAAGAAAGGGGCCGATAAGAACAACGACAATTCCGCCTCCTTCTCCTCCGGCCACCGTACTCCGCCGCACCCTAAGTCCCCTGGTCTGTTACTTCTCTCTCACCCCCACCCCTCATCCTAAATCCATGCACATTCTTTTCCCTTCAACCAGAAAACAAAAGGGAGAAATTTTTACATTAATCTAAATTTCCATGGAAACATTTTGGGATTCTCCTAATGTAAAAATTCCCAACATTATTATCCAATAATAATGTAGAAAAGGGGTAAAAGAGTCATTTCATGTCATATATTTCCATTTCTATTTGAACTAAAGTTTTCATGTCATTTATAGCACCCGAGGCAATCAAAACAAAGCCCACAGAGGAAGGGAAGGAGACAGCACAAGAAGGTGAAAAAATAGATGCCCAGAACTTCACTTTCCGGGAGCTAGCCACGGCTACAAAGAATTTCCGCCAGGAATGTCTTTTGGGTGAAGGTGGGTTTGGGAAGGTCTTTAAGGCTACCTTTCAACCAAGTGGCCAGGTAACTAACTAAACCAACCAAATTGGTTCGTTTAAGACACGTTCAATCTAAACATAACTCAATAAAATCTGTATAAAAATGAAGGTGATGGCTGTGAAGCAGCTTGATAGAAATGGTATGCAAGGGAACAAGGACTTCCTTGGTGAGGTTAAGGCATTGAGCCTTCTAAAGCATCCAAATCTTGTGAAGTTCAATGGATATTGTGCAGATGGAGATCAAAGGATTTTGGTGTATGAATATATGCCTGGAGGTTCTTTGGAAGATTGTCTCTTCGGTATATTTTCTATCCCTAATGTGCCTTCTTCTTCTAAGATAGTGTGAGAAATAGAATCTAATATATTCATATATATGTCATCAAACTATGATTCAATATTGGCAGACATAAAAGAAGATAGAAAGCCAATGGATTGGTTTGCTCGTATAAAAATAGCATTAGGAGTTGCAAAAGGATTGGAATACCTGCATGACCAGACGGATCCTCCCATAATATTTCGTGATTTGAAGTCGTCAAACATCTTGCTCGATGAAGATTTCAGCCCAAAGCTTTCTGATTTTGGACTTGCAAATCTCAGCGGCGGCGGCGGCGACAAGTCTCCGTTGCCGTCAAGGGTCATGGGCACCTATGGCTACTCTGCTCCTGAGTATACAAGAGGTGGTCAACTCACCGCCAAGTCTGATATATACAGCTTTGGAGTTGTGATGCTTGAACTCATCACTGGAAGAAAAGCTGTCGACACTACAAAACCAAATAACGAGCAGAATCTTGTTGCTTGGGTATGTTATGCTTTTCAATATCATTTCGTTTTCTGTTTCTAAAATTTAACATCCTTCTGATAATTACTTCATTTTTAATTTCGGCTTTTTAAAAAAATTAAGTTTCCCGCTAATTTCACTTGTCTACTTTCCAAAAATATTTTTAAACTGTAAGCTACATTTGAAAACTCCAATGGATGTGTAACAGGCACAACCATTTTTCCGAGATCCAAAGAGATTTCCAGACCTGGCCGATCCTCTCCTAGGGCGGTTGTTCCCGGAGAAAGATCTGAATCAGGCCGTGGCCGTCGCTGCCATGTGTCTGCAAGAGGAAGCAGAAGTCCGTCCTCTGATCGCGGACGTCATGATTGCCCTCAGCTTCCTATCCACAACTCCGGATGAGAACCTCCGTCCGCTCCCTTACCCGCCGGAGCCTGAGGACGAGGAGGAGGACGAGGAGGACTACTCCTCTTCAGATTGTTCAGATTCCGATACCGAATCTCGAAAAATCGGAAAAGACGGCGCATCTGGAAACTTCACAAGTGCAAGAAACCACGAAACAGACACCTCAGATGATGAAGAACAAGACATCAGTCCAAGAAATCAGAAACCTACAAAGATAAAGAGAAACAAAGAATCTGAGCAAAAACGAGTCGGATTCAAAGACGACGTACAACCACCGCGAAATCACTCCAGAAAGAACAGTTCCTCATCGAGCGATGGAGGCTCTTCAGCTAGAAGCAGCAACGCATCGGAAAATGAAAATAGCAGAGATTCATCGAATAATGTAAATAGAAGTGATTCTACATTAGATCATAACAAGAGTAGGGGATCGCATTCTGGCGATGAAGCTCGACACTACGGCAGTGATTCCGACGGCGGCTCTGCTCATGGCGGCGAAGATTGAGACGTTTGTGGGGGAGGGGGGAGAATCGAAGGACACCAAGAGTGAAAATGTTCCCATTTTTTCTCTCTCGTAAGGAGAAAAAAACACACGCTATTTTAAGTCGAAATTAACTCTTCGATTAAATTATTTTTCTTCTCCTTTTTTATTATCCTATAATTAAATGTTTATACGTCACAAAATTATACCCATCTAAATCCAATTAAATAATTAAGTAAACCTATTCTATAATTATTTTTCTCTCTTTTCTTTATAATTTTTAATTCGAGAGAGAATAACTAAATGGGATAAAAGATCCGAGCTATATTCTTCGTTCACACCTCTCGACTCCTCCCAAATCTTTGTCTCGCCTATACATGCATACATACATTTATCCGTCAGACGCATATTTAATCCATTTAAAAAATGATAAATTAACGAAAATACTGTGAACTTTATAATTTCTCTAAAAAAGTAAACACGTTTACTTTACCGTGAGTACTTTTAATAATATATATATATATATATATATATGGCAGCGGACTCGATTGTGCGACACTCACTTTCCAACGACAAGTGAGCTAAGTCAATTTGTTCTTGCGTCGTCTACGGCCAAACGACGTATGCTCAAGTCTCTGGCCTCGGTTTTAAGAGAATGTTTTAGAAAGCGAGGACAGAGATAGATTTTTGAAAGAGACGTTATATAAGCAAGCAAGAGAGAAATAACAACGGCTTACAGTATATAACCTTAGGACGAGCCTGACCGATATATTTATTTATTTATTTAAATTTAAAGGTATTGTGATATATTTATTTATTTATTTAAATTTAAAGGTATTGTTTAAAAATTGAGAAGTTTTATTTTTGTCTTAAAAAATTAAAATTGGATATTTATTTTTACAGTACCACGATAGTTGGAGCAGTTCATTATCGTCTCTCCCTCAGCACCCGCCTTCTTTCTTCTCTTCGCGGAGGCTCTGTTTCTTATCCAAATTCCCGCAGCCATTAATGTCCAAATTCCTGCTCTCTCACTCCTGCCTTCTCACCCTTCCCCACAAGCACCATTCCTTTTCCCTCCACAATGCCGTCCTCCCCCCCATCCGCTCAGTTCTCTCTACTGAGAAGCGGGGTAGAAAGAAGCGGCAGTCGCGGCAGCAACAATTGCAACAAAAGGACTACGATTCCACTGTGCTTGAGAAGTCCCTTCGCTTCACTTTCATGGAGGAACTCATGGACCGCGCTAGAAACCACGATCCACTTGGCGTTTCTGATGTCATTTATGATATGGTTGCCGCTGGATTGAGCCCTGGTCCTCGCTCCTTCCATGGCTTGGTTGTTTCACATGTTCTCAATGCTGATGCTGAGGGAGCGGTGAGAAACCTGAAGCTTTCTCTCTTTCTTTTCCATTATCGGATATTTTGAAGTAAAGGAACTCTAACCCTCGGTTTGTCTTTCCCGTTCCAAAAACTTATCTAATCGGTATCGTAATTTGAGGTTGAAGTTTTCTCATATAATGTAACCTTCGCACTTGTCACTTGGTAAGCAGAAGACGGGAAAACGTATAACATAGACTGTATTTAATTTGTTCAGGTGTATCCATAATTTGTCCCCCCTTTTCGTGTAGACATGTATGTATTTAGGTGGAAGGAGTGGAATTCAATTTTCCCCCTGACAAAATCAACCTTGTTTCGGTTCCATTGTAAATTTTGTTTTCAGATATGTATTTTTCTTTTTCTAAATTTTATGGTTGTGTTGAATGTAGATGCAATCCCTGAGAAAGGAATTAAGTACTGGACTTCGTCCCCTTCATGAAACGTTTGTTGCATTAGTTCGGTTATTTGGTAACAAGGGTCTTGCTACTAGAGGCTTAGAAATCCTTGCAGCCATGGAGAAATTGAACTATGACATTCGCCAAGCTTGGCTCATTCTTATTGGTAATCTCTTGAACTTCCTGACAATGATGCTTAAAACGTATATATTTTAGTTATGTTTATAGTTTGTTTTAGTTGCTTGAGTTATTTTGACTAGAGGAACTCGTAAAGAACAAATATTTAGAAGACGCCAATAAAGTGTTCTTAAAGGGTGCCAAAGGGGGCCTCAGAGCCACGGACAAGATTTACGATCTTCTAATCGAGGAAGACTGTAAAGCTGGGGACCATTCAAATGCCTTGGAGATTTCTTATGAAATGGAGGCTGCTGGGCGGATGGCAACAACCTTTCATTTCAATTGCCTTCTCAGTGTCCAGGTGACGTATCTTAAGTATTGGATAATTTTGTACAATTTTTTAGGAATGCGTAGCTGATCTCATACAGGTATAGTTAATTAAGGATTCTGTTTTGAATATAAAAAAGTAGAAAGTGACCCTTATAATAATGGTTCTGATAGTGATTGTATATATCTATATGTACGTTCTTCTAGACTTCACTGATTAAGCTTCCATTGGTAGGTGTCCAGCAGTAAAAAATTTTAACAGTCAAATTTGTTACTTTGCTCTCGTGGACTTTGTGGTTTGCATAACATAAGGATGATCACTTTTTCTTCTTCTTTTTATCTCTATAATTTCTTCTATCCCTCTTCCTTCTTCCCTCTCCACTTGTGTAGGGAGGGGGGACACTAAAAGAAGTGGGGAATTTATTATTTGATGGAGTCATTGGATTAGTTTTGGTATCTGTATCTATAGGCTACTAGTTTCATAAGCTGTTATAGTACACAAGTCAATTTGTTTTTGTTAAGCATCTCGGAAGGCTACAAAGTATAAAAATTTGAATGTTTCTCCAAAGCTTTACTAAATGTTGAAAGATCAAATTTTTGATAAACCATGAATAGGTTTTCTCAAATTGAGACCTTGAAATGGAAACTTATTTCCCATTCTCTTTTGGATCTCTATATTTGGTCTATATACTTTTATTGAAGTAGTATCTTAGTTCTGAACTTAGTACATAACAATGTAGATGCAGGTACAAATTTGTAGTTATCTTCTAATAAAAAAAATTGTAGCTATTTAGTCTATATAAGCTTTAGAATATAGAAGTTTAAAATTTGTAATTATTTAATTCATAAACTTTTATATGTAACAAGTAGTCATTGTAGTTTAAAATTTGTAACAATTTAGTTTACAAAATTTGTATATAATAATTTAGTAATTGTTCTTAAAATTTGTAATTATTTAGTCTATATGATGAAAAATCCCGGTTAATGGGGGTTTCTAACATATAGATCTACAATTGTTCATGGATGAATTGTATACTTCTTTTAACAATAAATCAAACTTTTCAATGAAGAAATGAAAATAGACTAATGCTAAAAAACACAAACTCCACAAGGGAGTGAAAAGAAAAGAAAATAAAAACAATTACATAGGATAAATAAAAGCATGCCATTTCGAATTAATGTCATATAATGAAAAATCCACGAAAAACTTGGAAAGAGCGCACCAAGAATAAGCCTTTAGACGAGCAGAATCAAATCTATCAACCCATGATAAATGCTTATCTTTGAAAGTTCTTTGATTTCGTTCCATCCAAATTTCCAAGTAGATGGCCTCCATCGCATTTATCATAGAAGAGAAGCCTTCTAACTCATCAAAGGACCAATAATCAGCTGCATAAAATTATACTTAAAAAGATTGGAGAACACCCAACTGACGTCGAACTAGTGGAAGAGCTTGAACCAACAATTTAGAGTATAACCACACCCAATGAGATGTTGTATCCCTTGAACACTTTTTCATTTTCATTATATCAATGAGAAGTTGTTTCTTGTTAAAAAAAAAAAAAAAAAAAAATCAAGATGCCTCTTGCTTCCTTGGAGAGCTTTACACCATTGGAGGATTTGTAAACTTGTATATGTGTGTGCAATGGCTATTTAATGAATAATATTTATTTCCTCAATGCTAGTAAGTTATGAAGTCTACAATTATTGTCCATTTGTGCTTGAAGCGGTTGGAGAGATCAAACTAATATGGTTTATTTACTTGTTTAGGCTACTTGTGGAATACCTGAAATTGCTTTCTCAACATTTGAGAACATGGAATATGGAGAAGGTTTGCACTATTTTTTCTGTGCTCATGTGTTTTGTTTGATATTCTCAAAAATGCATAGGCAATCTATCTTTCCTAGTAAATACATATTATGGATTCTGGCAATCTACGTTGTGATGACCTACTCCTATTCTTAGCTTCAAGTTTTGGGTGGCATTGTTCTCTTCTGGTCTTTAGTCTAGGTTTTTGGTTACCTTATATTTTATGGATTCTGGGCTGGACTTTTTCCTTTTTAAGTTTTAGTGACTCATTGTAATTTTTCTTCAATCATTGAAATTTTTGTTTTCTTTTAAAAAGATATTCAGAGCTAGAGCTTTTTTATGTTTGATTTTGTAGCTGATTTTCATCCATCCATAATGTCTTGATATGCTCAAGACTCAAATAAAGAGTGGGGGAAAAAAAAACTCAACTCAACAGAACAACTCGTGTTAACGGTCCTTCAGAATTTCAATAATCACCATTTGTTTTGGTTTATTTAACTTGTAATAATATTTTTGGTATAATACAAGAAGAATGAATCATTCGATAAATATGGTCTGGACCAACTTTCAGCTGGTTTTGCTTTATGTGCAGTTTGTAACTGAGCTCTGCTCATATTCTCCATGGTTGAAGTTTGATACTTTTCAACTAAATCATATGACAGATTACATGAAGCCTGACACTGAGACATATAATTGGGTGATCCAAGCATATACAAGAGCTGAATCTTATGATAGGTATGTTCGTTCTTTGTTAAAAAAATGAATGATAGTTATGTTCTTGCTCATAAATTTCTTGTTATGTTGCATCCACTTTGAGGTCGCGGTTATTTCTTTTGGGCTGGTGTTTTCTTCCTTTATTGTGGTAACAAATTAGTCTTATTTTCTCCATTTCATGAGTGGACGTTTGGAACTTGGTGCATGTTAATACATCTTGTTGACCCATGTTACAAAGCTTTTCAAGATTTTTCCTTGTTTCTGATCACATGCTATTGGATCTCTTATAATTTATTTCTGTACGCTCTTCCGTTTAGTTTCAGCCTATGTTTTTGTGTAGTCATTTTTTACTGTTATTTATTTTTCTTGATTAAAGCAGTTCTTTTAGCCAAAAAAGCATCCTTTTGGACGTGACAATTTTTTTTTTACCAACGCTCTGTTTCCTCAGGATTTTGGCGTGATTGTAAATCTGAAGGAGTTTCAAGGAATTCGTAAGCTTGTTATCTCTTGAAACAGAATGATTTAAAATCCTACGCCAAACTAAAATGGTTGGGTATTGTTGGATTTCATAACAAATTTGAAGAAAATTATGATTGAATGTTTTCATATTTTTACCTTTTTTAATCAATAAAACAGGATTGAAAGGTTATGCTTTATTTTCTTTTCCTTTCCAAGGAACATCGAAACAAAATATTTTAGATAAATTCATTTCAAGTCTTTCTTGTCTGACAAAATATTTTATTCACGTTCCTTCCAAATCTTTCTCATTCCAAACAAGATAAGAGATCATTATTTTCAAATCATGAATTATAAAATTACACCTTGAACCTTCTTGATTCCAAATGCAGGGTAAAACTTTAGAAGAGAAGTTTCACTTATACTCGGTGATGTCTTTTCTGCCTTGTTTTTACCATTTTATATGATAGATGATATACTTTTTATTCTGTGGAAGTGAATAAAACTTGTGTTGTGGTTATATGACTACTTTTGTTCAGAAGCTTGTTTCGTTTCTATTCTCTTGTTCATGTAGATGTTTGTAATTCTTACTATTTTACTACTTATCGTTTCATTGTTTTGAGTAGGGTGCAAGATGTTGCTGAGTTACTTGGCATGATGGTTGAAGACCACAAGCGTCTACAGCCTAACATGAGAACCTATGCGTAAGTTGAAACCTTAGTTAATGGGGAAATTAAAGAAATTATTCTCTCATTGCTTTGTTTGAAGTGATAGATGTACTTTTTTTTATTATTTTTTGTTAGAAACTGTACTTTCATTAAGAATGATGAAAGAAAGTACAAAGGCATAGAAAAAACCAAGTCACAAAAGAAAGTACCAAAAACTACACAAATGGACTTCAATCTGACAAAACTAAACCAATATCATAATTACAAAAAGACCTAGTAATTGATACCCACAAAGAGGCATTAAATCTCACCAACTTCCAAGCCTTTCAAGCTCTCTAAAGATTATGTTATTCCTCTCAAGCCAAACCCCCCACAACACCGCAAAGAAACTTGCTAGCCACAAAACATTGCTCTTCTCACAAAAAGGCAGCCCTAGGAGAACCTCCTCAATCACCGCAAAGTAGTCCCTATTCCAAACCAAACATAAATTAAAACCAACCAACGGGCCCAAAGGGACCGAACAAATGGGCAGCTCCACAATAAATGATACAAATCCTCAGATTGGTGTCTACAAAGGATACACCATTATGGGAAGAACACAAGAAGAATGTATCGGGAAGCAACCCAAAGTGTTGACGAGTCTCATTTACTGATGAAATGGTTAACGGTGGAACTTCTTTTTTAAGAATTATGTAATGAAAGTTGCTTTTCTACCTGGATAGCAGATAAAGTCTTTTAGGCTTCTACTCTTTTATTATTTCTCTCTATGTTCTTTCTTTTATAGTATGTTATATTGGTGCATAATAAAATCATGTATTTTTTTCAGGCTCTTGGTAGAGTGTTTTACCAAGTATTGTGTTATACGAGAAGCCATCAGGCATTTTCGTGGGCTAAAAACTTTTCCAGGTGGAACAAAAGCTTTGCATCATGAAGGAAGTTTTGGTGATCCACTTTCCTTGTATCTTCGAGCTTTATGTAGAGAAGGTATTTTACAATTCATCATTGTTAGTGGTAACAAGAATTTCTTAATTTTCTTGCCATTATTGATTTTGAAGCAGGAAGAGGAACTTTGATGGATTTTACTGTCACACTTATTTATGATTTACTTAGGTCAAGAGGTTGTCTTTTGAGTTTAGTCTAGGTGCATGGAAGCTTGTTGGATCATTCACGAGCATTAAAACAAAAAAGTAAAAAAGAAGTATATTCATATTTTTAAATAACTCGTTTGACATGCCAAATATTGTACAGTCTAAAAATTAACTCCCAATTAAAATTCAACCGAGGAGTCACTAAATGTTTTATTTGCAAAAGGTAAATTCATAGTCATGGAACTTCTAACCGAATAAAATGAACACCCCCTATTTTATTCATAAAAGGACTATCAATTTGTAGATATTGTGTACATGGCTTGTAATTTCATATGGCGTGTATTTTCCTGACTAACATCTTTTTTTCTTTTTCTTTTTCTTTTTGAAGGAAACAAGCTTTTCCATTAATTAAATGAAAAATTAAAAAGTAGCAGCTTCAATTTACATGAGAAAAAACCATCAAACAACTAAAACTCAAAAACGAACAGCAACCCAACTAACTAGCAAGCAAAAGAAACCAACGGGCCATTATACCCTTCAGCTAAAATAATAGACCAGCCTGTAGATGTGGCAGGAACAAACTAAGAGATTACACAAAGAATGCAAAGTTCACAATATATGAAGTAGTCTAAGTTCTTTTATAAGGTAAAATAGGCATAAATGTCAAGGTTACAAAATTAAGTGGACTAGACATATACAGACATTATGTGCTTATTTGTTTTACATTAGTGTCACGACTAATACAATGGGCTGTCTCAAATTAAATAGACATGTCATTGTATGCCTACTCTCTTTTATCATGACACCATCAGTGTATTGCTGGATGCGTTGAATGGGCATGGGCTAAGATATTATCAAAGCTGGACGTAAGATTGGGACATCATCAATTTGTTTTAAGCTTGAGGACGGGTATACCATAACTCACCAAATTCATGAGAGCTATTATGGATTCTTAGTTGTCATTTGACCTTCCAAATGCTCCCATCCACTTTTCAAGCTTTGATGAATGATGTCTAGTGGCCTTCTGTTTTCCGTAGGAATTTGTTCTAGTCTACTTTTATGACATTTTAATACATAGCTCATTGATGACAGAACAGTTAATCCATCTTACTAGGGTGTTGCGAGTCTTAAGGTTATCCGCTGATTAAATCTTAGGAAGTGCAACTTGGGTCAGGGATCATTTGATTATTTGGAACATCGAGTCTTAGTAGATGGTTTCCAAGCTGATCCTTTGATGATACCTTTCTAGGATTGTGGATTGTTTCTTATTATCAGAATTTAACATTTTTTTTTTCTCTTCATAGTCGTGTCAACAAATCAATTGATGGTGAGTAAATGCTGATCTTCTTGATAAGTATTAATAAAGCATATGTGGAGGTATTATTGAGGAAGCCTAATCTTTTTGCATCAATACAGGAAGTTGCTTATCTTGTTTCTGTTTGACTGCTTACAACGCTTTCAGTTTCAGCTCGTCTGCTTACACTTGCTAGTATTTAATTAATAGCCTCTGAACTTGGCAATGAACAAGATAACGACATTATTGTAAGATAATAAAGAGAGTGGTGATCCAATTCACTTCATTTGAATTGTCTTCTTTTAGTTAATACTCCTTGGTTTTGGGTGTTTATCACAACTAGCGGCTGATTGATCAGCTATTTCAGTTATTAAATGTTCTAATCAGAATCCTTTCTTATAACTTCCCATAGCCATTAGAAAATTTCTGAAATGGTGTCCCTCTTTTGTGCAGGTAGGGTTGTAGAGCTCTTAGAAGCATTAGAAGCTATGGCTAGAGACAACCAACAGATTCCTTCGAGAGCCATGATCTTGAGCAGAAAGTATCGATCACTTGTGAGCTCATGGATTGAACCTTTACAGGAAGAAGCTGAACATGGATACGAGATAGACTACATTGCAAGGTGTATATAATATTGTAGAGTAATCTCCCGCAACTCTGGCTTTGCCTCTTCTCTTATGTACTCTTTTCAATACCACCTTGATAAATTTATTGGACGATTAGTTTATTGATTTTCTTAATTCTGGAAAAGGGTAAAAAATCATGGGTATTAGTCATCACTCCAAAAGCAATATCTAAAACAATAGGCACATGCCTGATTTTGGCAATGGCCTTCAGTGTTGGAGGAAGAAATTCCACTTGAGAATGCACCCTGGTCTGGACGATGATTCTCTGTTTACTGATTTGTTTGAACCTTTTTCTGCATTGTCTTACATGTCTTTTCTTTCTATTTGACTCTTTCTTTATCTTATTTTGCCATCCGGTTACATATCTTATGTTCTTTTTCACTTTTGTGTGACCTCAAGATTAGGATTTGGATGTTGCTTGTGCTTCCGGAAACATGTCCCACTTCATTCTGCTACTTAAAAATAGGATTCTTCGGTGGCTTATTCCTAAAGATGCGAAGTTGTAAACGAATAAGAGAGAATTTGGGGGCTCCCTTTCTCTTCTGAATTCTTAGCTTCCTAACCCAAGAGAGTGCCCACTCAATAAACAAAACTCCTTAAATACTTTCTCAATGTATCCTTTTTACTAATAGTGGTAATGGGGTTCACTTTTCACAATCACACAAACTACTAGGTAGACTCAGTCCTCATCTGCTTCTTACTGTCCACTTCAATAATAGGGGTATATCATTGGTTATCCTAAAAAGCCAGCTTCTTCTCAAGATGAAGATCTGGAAATTTAATAATAGTTAATAATTAGTTCTCACATAGCATCAGTACCTCCTGGATCCTTGTATAGTTCAGAACTTCGAATAATACTAGGAGGAGACTGGAAAGCCTAAGAACTTAAGACCTCATCTAGTTGTACACAAACAACCATATCTGGATTACGCTTGTGGTAGAATGGGACATATGACATAAGTGCCGGCAACGGCCTTATGTAAAACATGAAAACATGGTGGATTGAAACAAGATCAAGTAACAAAAGTATATCAGCAACAAGTCCCTTTTTTTTTTTCTTTGTAACAAACCAAATTTCCATTGAGAAAAAAGAAAGAAAACAAGTATATACAAAAAAACAAGCCCAGCCAAAAGGGTCTAGAAATAGCTATGGAAATGGACTCCAATCCAACAAAAATCAAATCAATATCATAATATTATTCCAGCACAAGTAGGTTTCTAGGTTTCTGCCTCGGGCGGGAAGTATGCATGCATTGGAATTTACCAAGAAAACATGGTTCTTTAGCAGCACTCTCGAAAGGGCTGAAGAATACCTAAAGTTAGATATCTTTCTCTTCGTAAGGTTTTACCTTACAATCTATTATTAATTTGGTTGAACTTGTTTCATTTATTAAAGATTGATTCTGAGCTGCCAGTATCTTGAAATCACTGTGCCTTCTCTTTTGAGTTTTACATTTCCTGACTTTATTTATCAGGTAAAAGCAAATGTTATGGGATTTAATATTGGACTTAAGTTAAAACGTTGAGTTAAATTATTTTCGATGAAATAACTCAAGTTTCTTTCTACTTGTGGATGATTCTCTTAGGTTACAAGCTTTTGTCGTTTGCATGGATATGAAATTGCCAATCCAAACGGCAAATATTTGGGCATGAAACAATTTCATAGTTTAATGTTGCATTTTGTTTGGATCCTATTTGTTTAAGATGATGACAACTAGCTCTGCATGTGAATCAGATACATTGAAGAGGGTGGACTCACTGGAGAACGCAAGAGATGGGTGCCTCGAAGAGGAAAAACTCCTCTAGATCCTGATGCAGATGGATTCATCTATTCAAATCCTATGGAAACATCCTTTAAGCAACGATGTCTAGAAGATTGGAAGATGTACCACCGAAAGATTTTGAAAACCTTGCAGAATGAAGGACTTGCAGCTCTTGGGGATGCATCTGAAGCTGATTATCTTAGAGTCGAGGAGAGATTGAAGAAAATTATAAAGGGTCCCGATCCAAATATTTTAAAGCCAAAGGCTGCAAGTAAGATGCTTGTATCAGAATTAAAAGAAGAATTGGAAGCACAAGGTTTACCGATTGATGGAACTAGAAATGTTCTTTACCAGCGTGTTCAAAAAGCAAGGAGAATAAATCGGTCTCGTGGTCGGCCCCTTTGGGTTCCTCCAGTGGAGGAGGAGGAAGAGGAGGTTTAACTAGTCCTTTGATATTCATTTTAAAGATACATTATTAAGAGCCACTAAAAATTTTATTAACAAATACGTACCTTTATCTTCAGGTTGATGAAGAGCTGGATGAACTAATTTCACGAATAAAGCTACACGAAGGAAACACAGAGTTCTGGAAACGCCGTTTTCTTGGAGAAGGCTTGGACAGTAATAATGTTAAACCTTCTGAAGATGATCAGTCAGAACCTCTTGATTCTTTGGATGATGTTGACGTTGTAGAAGACGTTGCAAAGGAGATTGATGAAGAAGAAGCCGAGGAGGAAGAGGAGGTTGAACCAACTGAGAATCAAGATGGTGAAAGAGTTATTAAGAAGGAAGTTGAAGCTAAGAAGCCTCCTCAAATGATAGGTGTCCAATTGTTGAAAGACGTTGACCAAACCTCAACAACATCCAAAAAGTCAAGGAGAAGACGTTCTCGAGCATCAGTTGAGGTATGAGATGTCAACTTCTAGTTTCCTTAAAAGGAAACATATTTTTTCATTGATGGAATGAAAAACTACAAAAGAATATCAACCAATATATTGAATTAAAAAAGTGGAAAAATTCCACAAATTCTGAACTCAAACAAGCATGAAAAGACCAATCTACAAAACAACCGCGCACTTCATAAATGTCAACAGCCCAACTTAAAAGATTTACAAAACTTTACAGCATCTTGCGGTTTCCCCTTTTTTTTGAACGTCTATTCTCAATGCTGAAATATCCTCGTATTAGTTAACTGAGTTCATCTAAACATGTATATTCAAAGGCCTATTTACTAAGGTAAGGAGAAAGAGATTATGGAAATGAATTTTAGGAGGATAATTATATGCCAACTGCGTTAGAATTTTGGGAACTAAATCTTCAAAATCAGCTTCTTACTGATGGAAACTTATGTTTGCATTAAACCCTTTACCCATTAAATTAAAACAATTTGAGGTATGCTTACATCTTCCTACTTTAATATGTGGATGCAGGATGATCGTGATGAAGACTGGTTTCCTGAAGATTTATTCGAGGCATTTGGAGAGTTGCGAAAGAGGAAAATCTTTGATGAATCTGACATGTACACAATAGCTGATGTTTGGGGTTGGACTTGGGAGAGAGAACTTAAGAACAGACCTCCCAGGAGGTGGTCACAGGAATGGGAAGTGGAGTTGGCCATTAAAATTATGCACAAGGCAATTTCTCTCTACCTTTTTCGCTTGTTTTCTCTCTCTCTCTCAACTTACCATCCGCATTTGAGTAAATTAGGTTAAATTAGTCGATTTCTTTCTGCATGAAATTCATAGCATAGAAGAACAATTGGTTGCTGAATGTTGGTGAATTTGCCGTTTCCAAAATTTCATATGGAAATCATTACCATAGAGATTGTTTGTATTGACCTCTTGACTTCAACAGTAGCATTAGAAATCTTTAAATTTGTTTCTGTCTAATCTTTCATTCTTTACAGGTGATTGAATTGGGTGGGATACCAACAATTGGCGACTGTGCCATGATCTTGCGAGCTGCCATCAAGGCTCCTCTTCCGTCTGCCTTTTTTAAGATCTTGCAGACAACTCATAGTCTTGGCTATGTATTTGGGAGGTACGCTTATTTTTCCTGATTTATCAAGCTCTTAAACCCTAAAAGGAACAAAGAAATTAAAGAAAAAAACTCAGCGTTTGAACTTGGAATTTGGTATTGTGCAAAAGCTGGATAAGTAATTTTATGTCATTTTCACTTTTGTCTCTCATTCTCTAAAAGTTTCCTAGTTTGTCTCCAATAGACAAGGCCTAACTGTATGTAAGTATAAAACTTTGTCTTTCCGTAAGCTGTTTATCATCACGATAGGTGTCATGGTTATGAACATCTCTCTAGTTGATTCATATTCTACCTCAACAGGCCAGGTTGATTTGGGTTGTGTGGAGTGTATATATTTCTTACCATTAAATTAGAACACAGATAATCATTATTCCATTGTAAATTCTTTTTCCTTTAGATTCCGAGCAGGGGTTTCGAACGTACGACCTTTTCTCGAGAGTATATACTCAAATTGGAAGATAATTGTGTGTTTAACTCTTGGGACGTCTCTGTATTGCAGCCCATTATATGATGAGGTTATTACCCTGTGTCTTGATCTTGGGGAACTAGATGCAGCCATTGCCATCGTAGCAGATCTGGAAACCACAGGAATCTCGGTTCCCGACGAAACACTCGATCGGATAATCTCCGCTAGACAGACAAATGATGCTGCACCCAAGCGTGATTCGCCCATTGATATTACACTCAATGATCATAGTTTAGCCAGTGATGAAGAATCATAATCATCAAACATGTTCTTGTTTTCCTTTTGTACAGTTCAGTTCTAGAACACTGGAGTTGAAAAATTTTGATCTGTTAATCCGTAATCAATCACTTGCTTTACTTTATTTAATCGTTTCACAAATTGTTCTTGGCACTGATATTGACTCTCTTCATAATGTTAGGTTTTATATCTAAGCTTAATTTTGTTTCTTGAAATTTCAGACTTATTTTATTTTGAAAGGTCTTATTAATAAAAAATATTTTTAAACTTTACTCTTGTCTTAAAAAAAATATAAAACTTTTCTATAAAATATTTTTTAAATTAAAAATGCTCCTATAATTAATTTTGGATAATACACGTTAATAATATGACAATATAGTCTTCATAAAACACATATATATAATATAATATATTTCACCCACTTAATTTTTAAAAATTTAAAATTTAATATTATAAGCAATGATTTTGATAATTAAAAAAATCTACCCTATAACTTTTTTTTTAGTTTAAATACTACTATTAGCGTTTCAAAATTAACTAATTTATTTTTTTAAGAATCCTCTTTCCATTCGAGGCGGGTTCCTGCATCCTCTTTCCATTCGAGGCGGGTTCCTGCAATGGAGCCACAGGTAAAGTAGACATATGGCCCAATCACTATCACCAAAACTAATCAACTCAGATTGTTTAATAGAAACGGATTAGAAGGCGAGTAGACATATGGCCCAATCACTATCACCAAAACTAATCAACTCAGATTGTTTAATAGAAACCGATTAGAAGGCGACGTCTTAGAGACAAATTCAATGAATGAAACAATTAACATTATCATCAAATAATCCACTAAAATTTTTTCCATTCAAAATTACGTCTAACGACCACAATTAATCTCAAGGGTATTAACAAAACTGCAACGTTCGCTTTCCATTCAAAACTTATGGGTTATAATTTTTTTTAATATTTTTAAAGATCGTTAACGAAAATAAGTAATTTATCCTAAAAATAAGTGTAGAATTACCTAAAAAAAATATAAAGGAAAAAAAGATAATCAGATCACATGGGAATGAGTTGTTTGGTGAGTGGAAATGATGAACATTGATTAGACATATTGTCTTTGTGGAAACAGTAAATTCATACATCATTATCTTCACCACCAACCCACTATTACGTTCATATTATTATTATTTTTTTTAAGCCATGTTTATTACGCCTAATAATTGTCTGTCAATTTATCAAATCATACACATTATTATACCTTCTCGATTTGTTATAACTTAGTTATTCGTTTACACGAGTTTAGCTTAAGATGTTTTTTTGGAACAATTAGATGAATTTAATAGATCTTTTTAGGACGAACAAATGAGTTTTATGAACGACAAAATTTTAAATTTTGAAACTGTGTTCTAGTTCTCGTTATTTTTATTGTTGATGTACAAATGCACCATGTGATACAACGAGAAAGAGAGAAAAGTTTAGCAAACGAGGAAGAAATAACCTCTAATAAAGTCGTAAGGATTGTATTTGTATGAGGATTGGTCCAACGTTCACCACCGTTTTCTTTTCCTAGATCTAACCAGGCCTCGACTTATGTTTCACCTGAGTTATATATATAATTAAAAAATATGAACGAATAACACATTAATATTTAAAAGGAAAATAAATTAAATATTTTATATTATTCAATAGATATTTATGTGCATGTCACTCTTGTTATAGCTTAACTAATTAAACTATACTCAAGTTGATGTTGATGTGTAACACTTGACTTTCTAAGTAATTTTAGATAATTTTTGAAAGGTTAGAAAATAGTGTTTCGTTTTTATTTATCGAATAATTATATTAATTTTTTTTTTCTAAAGTCAATCTTTATTGAAAACTCACTCTTACTTCCCACGAAATGAATTGCAACTGAACCATCGTCATCTCAAGATGCAACTTTCTTTTTTACCACTTACGAAATTTGTGGTGAGCAAACCCATTTGACTCGTATTATTCTTCCAAGGGTAGATTCTTACCTTAATTCAAAGAAATTCTCAACCTCTCGATATTAAGAATGAGAAACCATATCTACAATATTCAGCCCTAGTCGATAGCCATCATCATCATCATCTTGAGGTGCGTCTCGTTTTCGATGTTTTTCCTTTTACTTTGTTTAGCAGCGAGCCACAACGTCGATAAAGTTATTTTCACGAGGGTAGATTCTTACATTCAATTAAAGCAATTACGAGCTTCCATCAGTGATACCAAACCCTAAATCTGTGATCGAGAAATAAGTATCGACATTGGAGCGGAACCCGAATGTTAAAAAGGAAGAAGAATGTGCACATAGTATGAGTTGAAAAAAGAAGATTCTAAAATGGACAAGAGAAAGAAGGAAGGAAGAAAGGATCTCATGCCAAAATTTGTTCACACACTTCTCACCCACTTTTTTTTCTTTCTCGCACGTGTCAGTAGCAACCGAATCTAATTTCTTACCACCCACAAGGGCTCAATCTCGGCCGTCCACGTGAAGGGTTGAGATCTCTTCTCTGTTTTGACCCTTTTTATTTATTTCTTTCCTCCTATTTATACGCGTTGCCTTAATCTGATTTCACCTTAAAAAAACAGTCCTTTTTTTTCCTTCCTTTCTTTTTTTGGAGGGGGCGATTGTTCTTCTTTTGTCTCGTTCTTCTTCCACGGAATTCGAAGTACTCGAAAATTCCAAACTGACATAGGGTTTGGTTTTTTCCGAGCTCTTTCATTTCTTCTTCTTCTTCTTCTTCGATTTGATTGATTTGATTTGGTTTGGTTTGGTTTCATTTGATTTGCTGTTACTGTGTTCTTCTGGGGGGGTTTTGTTGCTGGAGCTCCGATCTGAGTTGGGTTTGATTCTTTGAAGGGATCGCGGTGATGATTTCGGTACAAGGCGAGGTTCGCCATCAGCAGCTGCTGGCGGGGACTGGGACTGGGACTGGGACTGGGACTGGGACTGGGGTTTCTCGAGCTGGGTTTGTCTCTGATCGTGGTGGCGAATCGTTTGCAGTGAAGGCGGAGCCCCCATCGCTCAGCCTGGTTAAGTTCGAGAGTGCTGATTCTCTTGAAGGTTTGTGATTTCGTTTTGTGAGTTGGGGTTTGGGGATTTGGGAGTTGCACATTTGGTAAGAATGTTTAGTTATTTAGCTGAAGCCTAGCTCGTAGAGGTACTTAATGCAGTGGATAGTTGATGATGGTTTTGAATCGGTGGTTCTGGAGTGGATATCTTTGTGTGCCTTTCACTCGTTGGTGTATAAAACGTTATGCTCGTCTGTTTTTGTTCTCTGCGCTAGTTTGGGCGAAAAATCATTTTTGTATGCAGTTCACATCATTTGTTAAATTGTTTTGGCAAGGATTTTTTTTAGTGTACTTACCTTCTCTGCTATTAATTGAAGTATATTTTGAACTAGATTTGCGTTCATTGCATCTTAACAAGCATTAAAGAAAATGATAAATAAGAACTCGAGGAGGAGAGAGAAGCCATGTGGTTTCACTTTTCCCCCCTTCTTTGTTATGCAGTCTACTTGATTTATCTCAAACAAAATGAAAAAAAAAAACACCATTGTGTTGCAGTGGATGAAGAAACCTATTTGGCTCTTGCACATAAGAAGTACAAGAATGGTGATTATAAGCAGGCGCTGGAGCATAGTACTGTAGTTTATGAGAGGAATTCACTGCGCACAGATAATCTTCTTCTGATGGGTGCCATATACTATCAGGTATTTTTCTCTGCTGCTGATTTGGGCATTGACCAGCTTTATGTCGAAAATATATTTTTTTAATCTTGATATATGATGTCAGGTATCTAATTATTGTTAATAAATTTATCTATATCTTCAATATACCAGTTTCTTAGTTTTCTTTATGCTCATTTATCAAGTCTGTAATAATCTAATTTTCAAGTATATGCTTGGTTTTTTCTTTACAGTTGGGTGATTTTGATATGTGTATTGCCAAAAACGAAGAAGCTCTCCGTATAGAGCCACGTTTTGCTGAGTGTTATGGAAACATGGCTAATGCTTGGAAGGTAATTCTTGTGATTATTATGCTTGGCGTTCTAATTGTTCCTTATCCTCTTTGAGTGCTGATGCTACCGCCTTCATGCAAAATACAGGAAAAAGGAAACATCGATCTTGCAATTCGTTACTATCTACTTGCCATTGAGGTTTGTGAAGATTTCTGATCCCTTTTCATAAAAAAAGTGATGTTGATTTAATTGGTATTAACAGTGGCTATACCAACTTGTATTAGATTTGGGCCGATAGTTGCACATGATGTGCAACCTCTCATAACTGCATGCATTGAGACTGTCCTTGTATGAGACTCAGATTTTTTCTCAATATGGTTTGTTGTCATCCCTTGACGAAACATCTGAAGCTTGATTTTGAGCAGGTTATAGTACCCAACTTCGTAGGTTTCTTGGAATGATAGTTAAGATTTATAATATTGGAGGAACTGAATAGCTTTTTACAATGGGCAAGGCTTGGGAAAAGGCAGTGATGGCTTGTTATCTGATGTGGTTCCCCCCTCATTTATGCTCTTGAGGTTGATTATGGCATTTATTACGTGTTGGAATCTATGTTTTTCTTTCTGGCTGGAAGTGTTAACATTATTTTACCTGCGTTTATCCTTATCAAGGTTATTTGATGGCCTTGCTTAAGATGATTTTGGAGATTTTCTTCCAATCTTTATAATTCACATGATTTGTATATGTTGCTTGTGTAGATTTTATGGGTTATTATACTCGAAATGCATTTCTTTATGGCTCCCAGTGCTCCTTTTCACTTTGTACAAGTGTGGTCCTCACCTAGTTTGATGTGATGCTGCAGCTTCGACCCAATTTTTGTGATGCATGGTCAAACTTGGCTAGTGCATACATGCGAAAAGGCAGGCTTGGTGAGGCTGCACAATGTTGTCGGCAGGCACTTGCGTTGAATCCCCTTCTGGTAATTTTCCACCCCCCACTCTCTCTATATGTGTTTGTTTGTATGAATGTACGTACGTATGTACGAAAATATCATTTTTTGTATGAACATTAATCAATCTAATGGTTATTTATTGGTCTTCCTTTATTACAGTGTTGCTGGTAATATTGTTGGTTCAGTTTGGATAGTTTTAAACATGAAGTTAAACCATTTGGTTTGTTATTACGGATAGATTTTGAAGTGTTGATATATATAGGAACCATGTTTATGTAGTGTTTTTAAGTGTAAGTGTAACCCTTAAGGTGACAAGTTGGATTGATTGATGAAATATAGACTTCGTTTGTTATATTAGTTGCTTAGCAACTTTCTCTCTCTTTTATTTTTATTTTTTTTTTACTTTTTTTTTACAAAGATTCCGGTTATGATACCAAGCAAGATGGCACTGACATTATAGTATTTCTATATGTCGGACTGTACATGTTCTATGGGTAGTAGACTGACCTTTTTGTTCATTCCCACTGAAGTCAGAAATTCATCACCATTTTCAATGTCTTTCCTTGACTCTTGTTTTGGATTTCTCTTTCAAGTTTCCATTGTTTTTTCTTTTTCTCCAACTATCAAGTGATGATGTGGTTGCTATCATGTGAAATTATGCTTGCACAAAACAACGAGGATTTTTATACTTTCCTTCTGTGTTTACTGGAAAATAGGTTGATGCTCATAGCAACCTTGGCAATCTCATGAAAACACAAGGGCTGGTTCAAGAAGTAAGTACCTTCAAGTATTTTCCGAACTGCTCCTCTTTGATTTATGAGTGTGTTATGGGTAGCTGAACTTTGGATATTTGGGAGCTGGGATATTGAGTCCTCCATTGCCAATATGATATTGAAACTGACGTTTATCTATGAACTTAGCACTCTTACTATCAATCTCCAAGGCGCTGTGGAACAAAATCATCCATAGTTCAGACTTCCTTTGAACTCTCCTAGCAAAGTAATTTCACATAAACCAAAGTAATATTAATGTTTTTCATACAATGGGTGTTTTTTATTTTATTTTATTTTTGTGGACAAGAAACTGAGATGTTTATTAATTGTCAAAAGACTAACACCCTAAAGGCCTTCGGGATGAGAAATCCCTACGCCCAATTAAGAGGAGGACAAAAAAGGCCTCCAATCTAAGTTAATAAGGAGAAGAGGGATCTTACAAAAGGAACTAGGAAAGTGTAGATTACCAAATCCTATTTCTTAATTCTAAATTATTTTAGATTCGATCTAAATAGGGTTTTCGGGATAAGGAATAAACAAACCAGGGATAAATCCAAGACTCCTTAAATCCAAATGATCTTTTCGTAGGCGTTCGCCCCCTATTCAATTGGGGGATCAAATTGACTATAGAAACATGAGTTTGATTGGCTGATTTATTAGTGAACAAGGAAAAATATTATCTAGATGGGTAACTCATGCACGTTTTGTGTAGTTGGGAGGAAGGTGCCATCTATTATTTAGTTTTTCATGCTTAATGTCTCTCTTCCTCCAGTTAAGTTACTGATTAAAACAATTCATTGGTGGAACTGTGTTGGAATCCACAGTTCGATACATATTTCAATTTGTTATCTTCAGGCCAGGGAACAGATGATGGTTGGTCTTGTTGTTACTTCCATGCCAAGTCTGCAAATTGTCAAGGAAACTAACATTTTGTGCAGGCATACAGCTGCTACCTTGAAGCTTTACGTATACAGCCTACATTTGCTATCGCCTGGTCAAATCTTGCTGGTCTTTTCATGGAATCTGGTGACCTTAACAGAGCACTTCAATACTACAAGGTATTCTTGTTCTTATTTAATTCATACCACACTAGTCACAATGAAAGTGACTACTTTCCATTAACCTGTGCATGAAGTTTTTCAGTTACTGAAATCACTTTCTATATGTCTTACTGATGTTTTCTTGTACTTATTAATATTTTAGGAGGCCGTTAAACTCAAACCCCAATTTCCAGATGCCTATTTGAATCTGGGAAATGTTTATAAGGTAAGGTATCATATGCCTTGTTTGGGCAAGTCCATGGATGCAAGTGATTGTCCTTGCATTGGAGAGTGTCTCCTCCACCCTGGTATTCGAGCAAAAAACAAGAAATTTCTTTTTCTTTTTTCCAGGCTTTGGGAATGCCTCAGGAGGCAATTTTGTGCTACCAATGTGCTATTCAGATGCGACCCAACTATGCAATAGCATATGGTAAATGTTGATGCTTTATAATAAGGTTTTTGAATTAGATTATTATGTTGTGGATATATGGATCCTTCTTGAGCTAATTACTTTTGATGTGGGATTGAGGTGTTTCTTGATATTCCTTTAGACAGTACTTCAACCATGGTTTTCCTTTTGTTTATATACTCCATGTTTCATTGTTCTTAGCTGTCTCATTTTGATATCTGCCTTCCTAGTTGACGTGTTGAATGTTCCAGGTAATTTGGCAAGTACTTATTATGAACAAAGTCAACTTGATCTGGCAATACTTCATTACAAGCAAGCTATTACATGTGATCCTAGATTTTTGGAGGCCTACAACAATTTGGTTGGTTCCATATGATTCATCATCTTAATTGACCACATGAGTTTTATCTTGTCTTCAAATTAATTTCTCTCTCTCTCAACAATTACTTTTGTTTTGTTCCAAGGGTAATGCTCTTAAGGAGTTTGGCAGAGTGGATGAGGCTATCCAATGTTACAATGTATGTTTTTGTTAGTTGTCACTCTACCCTTTGTTTAGTTTACTATCGTTGTTTTCAGTGGTTAACATTATGTTGCTGCGTGTAGCAATGCCTTTCTCTGCAACCTAGCCACCCACAAGCTCTTACCAACCTTGGGAATATATATATGGAATGGTACATGTTTCCACTGTCTATATGATGCTACATAGCTGCTGCTCATTTTCTATTTATTACACAACTTATTTCAGCAATAAATTTAAGAGCTGATTGTGTACCTACAGGAATATGGTGCCTGCTGCTGCTTCATATTATAAGGCCACACTTAGAGTAACTACTGGATTGTCAGCCCCCTTTAACAATCTCGCCATCATATATAAGCAACAGGTAGTAACAAATCCAGGCTTTAGTGTGTTTCTACTGGATGGTTTGAACCCTTAAAGAAATTGGACTATATGTATGAGGAGGAGTTCTAAGAACAAGCTTACAACAGTAAGCCTGAGGGGACTGTTGGGATACTTTGATGTGCCATTTAGCGTTCAATTTCTAACCCTTTAACTCGATCTACTACAGGGAAATTATGCGGATGCAATTTCGTGCTACAATGAGGTTCTTCGTATTGATCCATTGGCAGCTGATGGCCTTGTCAATAGGGGAAACACTTATAAGGAAATTGGTAGAGTGAGTGAAGCAATTCAGGACTACATACGGGCCATCAATATTCGGCCTACTATGGCTGAAGCGCATGCTAATTTAGCTTCAGCTTATAAAGACAGGTACTTTCTCTCTCCTATATAGGCAGTTTTAGTTGTGCTCCTAAAATTTCCATGCGATTTGTATCTTATTTTCAAAATTATTTGACCATGTTCTCATCAGATGCATCTTCAGTATGTAACCTTGAATGCTCTTATAACTTTTCATTAATGAGAAGTTTGTTTCCTAAAAAATGAAATTGGATTTTCTGGACGTTTCATGGCTTGTTAATGCCTTGATTCAAAAAAAATGATGCGTCTCTGGGAGGATTCTGAAAACTAAAAAGGTCTTTGAGTTTTAGTTTTCAGATCAAGCAACCTGTGCTTTTCTGTAACGTTTGAAGTGGTTGCTATTATTTTACATTAGTTGGGCAGTCGATACACAGGACACAAATATTTAACGTTACAAGTTTGTTGGTTCAGGCCTTAATTTTTTTACTTTTACATCCATTCTTGATTTGTTGCTTTTATTCATCCCCCACCCCCCCACCCCAAATTTTGGAGGACAAAAATGGTGACTGTCTATTTATATTGATTTTAGTTTCATTTCATTTCTTTGGGTTATAGTGGACATGTGGAGGCAGCTATCAAGAGCTATAAACAAGCATTGCTTCTGCGGCCTGAGTTTCCTGAGGCAACATGCAACCTTTTGCATACATTAAGGGTATGTACTATATATATTTTATTGATTGTGTGGAATGTTTAAAGGATGATCCTATAAGCATGTTGAAATAGATTTCATTCGTTTCTATTTATCTTTTTTTGTAAATATTTCTAATTGGGTGGTTCTATGAATTGTTCCATTATATCGTTTGACATCATAATGCTGTAGCAATAAGTTTCACATCTTTGTTGCTTCCGTCGAATAATTTTCTGCTTATATGCTGTTGTCTATATGTTTTCTTCTATTTGCAACCTCTTGGTCTATAGGTGTTATGAGAAATTGCCTGTTTTTTTGAAGTATGTGGAACATTATTTTCCAAGTTTTCTGCATCTGTGTTCAAAGAAAGAAATTCAACTTTGACAGCGGGTGCAACTTTTCCTTGTTTTGGGCCCACTCATTGACCTTCTTAGATTTGGTTCTTGGTGTTAAGTTAATGCCAATTAATTAAGCATTGAAGTTTTGCAAGCAAGAATTATATATATATTTATTTTGCAGTGTGTCTGCAACTGGGAGGACCGTGATAAAATGTTTGTTGAGGTAGAGGGGATTATCAAGAGACAAATTAATGTTAGTATGACTCCTATTTTCTTTTCTAGTATTCACATTGGCCCTTTCTTCAACATGCTTTATCCAATTTCTGTGCATAGTAATTTTGTGCCTGGCTACTCTTTGTTTCAGATGTCTGTTCTACCAAGTGTTCAACCTTTTCATGCAATAGCATACCCGATTGACCCATTGCTTGCACTTGAAATTAGGTACAGTTGTTTCCCCCTTGTATATGTTCTTCTCAATGAATGCAGCACTCAATTTTGTTCTGTTATTACAGCCGCAGTTACGCATCACACTGTTTGAAAATTGCATCTCGATTTTCACTTCCAAGTTTCAATCACCCTTCACCAGTTCCTATAAAGAAAAATGGTGGATTTGAGAGGCTTAGGGTTGGGTATGTATTTACCTAAAGATGTTCTTTTTTATTCTTTAGGAATTGTTCATTTTACTGAAGCTGTTGACCTGCAGCTATGTAAGCAGTGACTTTGGTAATCACCCCTTGTCACATCTTATGGGATCTGTTTTTGGTATGCACAACAGAGAGCATGTTGAGGTCTGGAAAATTTGGTTTAGGCATTTTTTGAGAAGTCCGTTTCTTCTATCTCTTCTTCTGACTCCTTCCTTTTTAGGTCTTTTGCTATGCTTTGAGTCCAAACGATAATACGGAGTGGAGACAGCGTATTCAATTTGAAGCCGAGCACTTCGTCGATGTCTCTGCCATGACATCTGATGTGATTTCAAAAATGATAAATGAAGACAAAATACAAATACTAATAAATTTGAATGGTTATACTAAGGTACATGTAGTTTTTGATTTTATCCTGTTTTTCTTATTGAAGCTCAACTGTTGTTTAATTTAAGATTCATTTACTTATTATGATTATTTTTCTTCAAACTTTGTTTGCCAGAGTTTCCTTAGATTTTTTTCTCATTATTTTGCTTGTTCAAATAATGTTTTCTTTTCCTTTTCATTTGAATAATCATGAATTTGAGTCCTGGCAGTTCGAATAATTATTATATTAGAAAACATGGAAACTAGGAAGAGATGTTATTTCTGTGTTATTTGTATATTTTGTTTCAGGGGAGTGACATCTTTGCCAAATGAGTTTTGAGTTGGAAATGTTGTATGAGCTTTTAAAGCTAAAGCTATTGGGTTAATATGTTTGTTTATTTAAGTCTTCTTCTTAACATTTATTATTTATTATTATTTTTGAGGTATGATATGTATCTAGATGAATTTGCAGGGGGCTAGAAATGAAATATTCGCCATGCAGCCTGCACCTATTCAGGTTTCATACATGGGGTTTCCAGGAACAACAGGGGCAACTTACATAGATTATTTAGTGTCTGATGAGGTGAGCTTAGTCTAGGTTTCAATACTTTCTAATTTTTATGGTCTTGTTAAATATTCTGAACCTGCTTTTCTGCTTTCAGTTTGTTTCGCCTTTACGTTATGCACATATTTACTCTGAGAAGATCGTCCACCTCCCTCACTGTTACTTTGTCAATGATTATAAGCAGGTTAGTATTTAAATTGTAATTTTGTGGAACTGAGTTAGTTTCCTCATTAGTTTCCTGTCTTCCTTACCTATTATTTCTGTGCGTGCAGAAAAATCTGGATGTGTTGGCTCCAAATTGCCAGCACAAACGTTCAGATTATGGATTACCTGATGGGAAATTCATTTTTGCTTGCTTTAATCAGTTGTACAAAATGGATCCAGAGATCTTTAACACCTGGTAATGATAGCTCCATATCTGACTCACTTTTTTTTTAATAGTTTTATCTCACCAGGTGCTTTCTTATTGGTACCAGGTGCAATATTCTTAAACGTGTGCCAAACAGTGCCCTTTGGCTTCTCAGATTCCCGGCTGCTGGTGAAATGAGACTTCGAGCGTGTATGAGAAATTCATTAAATAAAAATATTCTTGTATTACGAGTTACTTATGCTATTGTCATTGAAAAAGGGATTTTCCACTGGTGAGCGAGAGTTTTGTTTTCATGCAGATGCTGCTGCGCAAGGAGTGCAACCAGAGCAAATAATTTTCACAGATGTTGCCATGAAAAATGAACATATCAGTCGTAGTGCGTTAGCAGATTTATTCCTGGATACGTTAGTCACTCTTCTTCTTCCATCTCTATGAATGGCCCCTTTCTAGTTCTTTATTCTAATTGTTTTTTTTTGTTGGGTTTGTGACGTCATCTGCATGTTCAGGCCTTTGTGCAATGCACATACAACAGGAACAGACATTTTATGGGCCGGTTTACCAATGATTACCCTGCCCCTGGAGAAAATGGCTACCAGGGTTGCTGGTTCTCTCTGTCTTGCAACTGGACTGGGAGACGAGATGATTGTTAGCAGGTGACTGCTTTAATTATATTGTAAATTATGTGCGAGTTTGTCAAAATCATTAAGTGTTGAATATGCTCTTCATAAATGGAAATACTGGATAGTACCAAATTGGCAAAAGTCGGAATAGATTGGTCAACTATTTTCTACGGGTAGAACCCACACACAAGCTCACCCAAAAAAAAAAGAAAGAAAAAGAAAACACTTACGCAGCTGTTACTTCTTTCACTTGTTCAATCACACTAGTATGATGTGGGTGTTGATGTTTCTGATTTGAATATAGCAGTTAATGTTTAATTTATTTTTCTTTCCCTCTATATGACTGGTGCAGTCAAGTTTGTTTTGGAAACATAGGAAGCTTGGTACTTATGCTGGGTGGTGTTTCTCACAGTTTATGCTGCAGATTTTCCCTCTGTTTGCATTGACATTTTACTTGGAAGAAGTGTGAATTTAGTCTTTTTGTTAAGATTTCTTGTTCCTTGTTATTTCTCTGCTGGCCTTTTTACCTTTCCATGTGCTGGGAAAATTATAGCTACTTTTCTGATTTATTTTGCTTGAAATGTTGTCTAGCATGAAAGAATATGAGGAGAAGGCCGTGTCATTGGCATTGAATCGGCCAAAACTGCAAGCACTTACCAACAAATTGAAGGCAGTGAGGATGACGTGCCCTCTGTTCGACACGGCTCGATGGGTATGATACACTATGATCATTGTGTACAACATTATAGGTTTATATATTGGATTAAAACGTGCTTATAGTTCTGACTCCTAACTTGTGTTGTAATAGGTGAGGAACCTGGAGAGGTCATACTTCAAAATGTGGAACTTGCATTGTTCTGGGCAACGTCCGCAACATTTCAAAGTGACCGAAAACAACTTGGAGTATCCCTTTGATAGATAGGTGAGGGAGGTGACACGGGATTGTATATAACCAAGAGAAATTTAAGTTGGGAAAAAATTTATATGTAGAATATGTATCAGGGGGTATAATATATCTGTGGATCAAAATGAATGTTGTTGTAGAGAAGTTAAAATGATTTGTGATGAAGTTATTCGGCTGCAGCATAGCCATTCCACGCCACTCGGTTCTTTTGTATCTGCAAACCTTGCTGGTAGTTTTGATGCGAGTCAGCTGTGTTGTGACATAAACCTACCAATTGGTTTGCTTCTTGGCATTGACATTATGGTGCTTGATATTGAGATCGTATTCCACGATGTCGCGTTAGTCTTAAACAGGATTGGCTTGGAAGTTGAATATCCACCGCCATTATCAAGAAGAATGCAGAGGTTTGTTTGTTTGTTTGTTTGTTTTGACTTGATTGATTTAGATTGTTGTTGTATGGTTGTTTAAAATGTTGTAAAAGGCAAAGCAGCGGAGGAATGAAGCCAAAAGGTTCATCGCTTCTGTTGCTGTATCATGATTATTCTTTTTGAAGTGTAGTGGCTGATAGTTGAGTAGTTTTTATGTGTCGTATATGAAGGAGAAGGTGGGAATTGGTGTGAAGTTTGATTTTCTTGAATTGGAATTAGTCGTTTGTGGGTGAGGAAAAGCCATGAATCCCCATTGTGTATGGTTTGTTCTCTAAATTCATCGACAGTGAAAAGAGGGGCATTATTATTTTGCATCAACATGAGTTCTAAACTTATAGGGGTCTTGGTGATCTGAACAATATTGTATGAAGACTATTACATGTACTGGCCTTCTTCGTCGAGCCCTTGTTGATTGCGATATACGTAATATGGTAAGTGGCCGATGGTATGACAAATGGGGTATTGTATCTATCATCAATATGTTAAGACATTGCATTGAACAATACTAGGGAAGAAAAAGAGATTGATAAGGGGAGATTTTGTTTCTCTGATATCTATTATTTTATAATCAAAACCTAATTAGAGATTGATTTGTGGTTTAGTGATTGGGAGAATGAGATTCATGGAATCAAATCATACTTAAGTGCTCTTTTGGTTATGCATGATTTGTGTGATTCCACTTTTACAAGCTCATTCAAAAACACAAATTTTATGAATAATCATTCCAATTTGATTTTGTTACAAAGTTGAAAAAAAAAAAAGACATCGAATAGATATTCGATTGAGAGACATTTTATTTTATGACATAGATATAGTCAGAATTATCCAATGTTATGACGGTAATACATTCAACTCATATATAACTCAAAATAGTCAAATACATGACTTCTTAATTTTCGCTCATTGTTTTTTCTATAATATCCCAAAAAAAGAACGTATCCTTCCATCCAAACTCAACAAAAACATAAACGGAAGAGGATAAAGAAAAAGATTCATATTAAGAGCCAAAGGAAGAGGATAAAGAAAAAGATTCATATTAAGAGCCAAGAATGTTGACTTGCCGATGAAGGTTAATAGGTCTTTTCAAAGTAAGACAAACCTTCTTTGTTTCATCAAAATGATGTTAAACACATCGCCTCGTTTTTCCAACGAGCCACCTTCTGCCCTTTCGATTGCCATCTTCGACCGTGACCTCCTCTAGCTGAATCTGGATGCCTTGATTGAGAATATTATAACGTCAACTATGCTACAACCTCGGATCGTTGGTGAAGAACATTATGAAACTGCGCAAAGAGTTAAACAAACCTTACAACGTTACAAAGAACTGCAGGACATTATAGCTATCCTTGGGTTGGACGAATTATCCGAAGAGGATCGCTTAACCGTAGCACGAGCACGAAAAATTGAGCGTTTCTTATCACAACCTTTTTTCGTAGCAGAAGTATTTACGGGTTCCCCGGGGTCTATTTTTCGTTGGGGGTTTCCTGGAAAAAATCGTCGAATCGCCGATGAAGGTTAATAGGTCTTTTCAAAGTAAGACAAACCTTCTTTGTTTCATCAAAATGATGTTAAACACATCGCCTCGTTTTTCCAACGAGCCACCTTCTGCCCTTTCGATTGCCATCTTCGACCGTGACCTCCTCTAGCTGAATCTGGATGCCTTGATTGAGAATATTTATTATAGATAAAACACAGCTAGTTTGTTGTTCTTTTATTGACAAGGGATGAAGATAGGATTATGATTTAAAAAGAGAAGGAGAGCCGAATTAGTGTTATTATTTTGTTTAAAATTAAAGTTAAATTAATGGAAGAATCTTGAAATATATTAAAAATATGAAAGTGGAGAATCTTCCAAGAAATAACCTAACATTAAAGGACAACAATGGAGATTATTTTAAAAATATTTATATGCTCACCACCTCAGCTCACTCCATTTACAACATGTTTGGGGACACCATCTAATGTTTTTCTCGGTTCTCTAGTAGATATCATTCTCTTTGAGTTTTTTTTTTCAAGTTTATCTTGTTTACTCGTTCGTGCTTCCCCTCAACTCAAGATTTTAAAACACATTTGCTAGAGAAAGGTTTCATATTCAAGCTTACCTTGCTTTCTCTTTCGTGCTTCTTCTACCTTGCTTTTTCTTTCAATCTGTTAAGGAGAAGTTTCATACTCAAGCTTACCATGCTTTCCTTATCTTCTGCATTTGCCAAGGAGATGTTTCCTTTTCAAACTTACCTTACTTTCCGTTCCCCTGTTTAATCAACGGATCTCACTGTTCATATTGTTCGTTTTGATTTTGGTTTTGACAGCGTGGACATGTGATCAAAAGATTTGGGCATGAATTGTGCGTAGTTTAGAGAAAACAAGAGAGAATAGAAGCAAATATGAAGAAAAATGTTGTGCATTTGATTTCATAATAGGGGCAACACTTTGAAGATGTGAAGAAAACTGCCATTCATCCCAAAATACAGAACAGCACCTATCACCTTACAATCAATGGATACACTAAAAAAAAGCTTCAAATGTTTTGTATGAACAAATTTCTTTTATCTCTTCTTTTTTGTTTCAAATAATTGCCCTCCATCCTTCCTCACACACTAACCTGCCTGCTCAGAAACATACCTTGTTCGAGGAAGGACGAACGACGACAGCAAAATGATGTTGTTGGCCCTATAAAACTCGCCATCAACATGTATCTTTACAATCAATGATGCATAAACGGCTCGACTCGAAACCAAACCGAGTTGAGATGAATGAGAACCACACAAAAATATTGGTTCTAGCATCCAAGAACGAGAGCATGGATTTCAGCCCAAGAACTGACGGTGTAAAGAACACCAGACAATCTTTTCCAGCTGAGTAGTGTCTCTTCGGTAAGAACTTTCTGTTTTCTTACCACGTTCGGGTACAACGGAACGAAAGAAACTCCATAATGAGTCGCCAGTCTCCTTAGACTGGAACTCGACCCAATAACAATTCCTATATCTGCTTCGAGTAGGCAAAGCAAGTCGCCGACCGCATCTCCAATGTATAAAGTGAAGTTTTTTTTATCAGTGCTGTAATTCTCCAAGATTCTCCTGAAAGTCCTGACTTTATCGATGGGAGATTCTATTTTCCTAACTAAATCACCTGTAGAAATTGCTTCTTCAAACACAAACTCATTGGATTGTATACTCACTTGCGTTAGTAAACCACCTGAATTAAAAGATGATCTGATGAGATCCCCACACCAACAATAAGACACTATGTTTATACCAACATTCAATCTTTCATTCCTACTAGCGGTTGAGAAGAATTTGAAACACCCTTCTTGAATGATAAGATGTTCACCCGCTCGTTTTATATCGTCGAAATTCAAGCCCTTAAGCAATCGAGACCTGATAACTCTGGCATTTGCCCGTTTCTCGAAAGCAGAGAGTTGCTCAAGAGCTCTACAAAGATCATCATACCTAAATTCATCTGCAACGCCCAAATATTCATGATATCATGTAAACGAAAACAAAACTCGCTCGAATAAAAGAAAATCCATGTTCTAAGTAACTACCTGTTCTAGAAGTTGTGATTCTATCGATGCAGTCTTCGTACTCGTCGGTATACTGCCTGGAAATATCACTCCATCTATTTTTGAGTTCGGCTGATGTCATCCGGGTAGTTTGTTCTTCGGCAGGTTGATCTGGATCAGGGATTGGAATGGATTTTGGAGCTCTTACTATTGCAATTTCTGCCAGAATGGCAGAAGAATCAACAACAGTGCATGTCAAATCATAATCCGAAAAGATTACCAACCGATCCACGGCAGGATTATGATTTCTAATCAACGGAACAACAGTCTTCTGGCCAACAGGCTGAGACCAGAAAAAATCTAGCTCGAGTTTCATAGCTTTGTTATAAAGCTTCTCAATGGTGTCAAGCTCTTCACCAGTCAAAGTAGTAGCGACTTTCTCGAGCACGTCTTCAATTCTCTCAGCTGCTTTCTGAATTGAAGATAAAAACAGCTAGCCATTTCAGTAAACCATTTTTTACTACAAAACTAAAATCAAAACAAGGAGAGCTCAAAATAACAGACCTCAAAACCGGGCGATGCATAGTTTTCGATCCATGTCTTGTAGAGGTGATCACCATAGACTGGACCAATAGCTACCTTAAACTCTGAAGCTAAATAGGCGTAGAGCCTCATGCAAGGTGTCATGGCACCTAGAGCATAAGCAGGAACCTTTGTTCTTTCAAATGGGGTTGCAAGATTAAGTCCTTCAATCATGCCAGACGCTGTTGCCAACAAAAACTCGGTGTATTTGACCGTAGCAGGGCTGACAGGAGCTGCTTTTCTGTCCTCAGCACCCCATTCCTTAAAAGATCGAGCACCAAGCCAACGGGTTCGTATAACGTCCCAAAACGGTAAAAAGATCAACACACATAAAAATAGCAGGAATTCACTTAAATACTAGGCTATTAATGGCTCCATTCTTCAAAGAAAAGCACATATGAAGCATGGAGGTTTATCTTCTACCTTAACAAATGAAGCATGCATTTTCAGTTCTTCTGTCACTTCCTTTCTCAGCTCAATGATTGAATGCTTTGCATCATCATCATCAGCACATTCTGCAGCTAATTCATACCTGGATTACAACAAAATATGAACATTTACAATCTAACATTTCGTTCCAAGAAAAATGATCGGAGCACAGACAAATAACATCTATACCACATGAATATCGTATAAATTCAATGTCCCAATGTTTCTTAGATTCCTGGATGACGCCCTTAGGTTGATTCTCATCATTCATTCTAATAATAACATTGTGTGCCTTAACTTTCTTTGTAACAAGAAACCAAGTTTTGGGATAGATATCGAATTTGATTAACTAAAAAGAGAGACAAAGCACCAAGAACACGCATTCTAATGCAAAACAATCGAGGATAATTCAATTAAGATTCAAAATTACTCAGTAATTCAAAAAGCCAATGAAAGAAACAGGACATATTCAATATTATTCATTATCATCCGCTGTAGGCCAAAGAGGAATAAATGACTCAAAGACAAGAATCTCAATTCAATTAGGATTCAAGATATCGTTCTACAAGACTCCCATGTCCCCTGCAATTCAATATAATCCAAAAAGAAACAGAACAACAATAAAGAATTCGAA